CTCCGTTTTTCCTCCTCTGCTTCGAGCTTGTCTTGAATGTGAGCACATTTTGATTCGAAAATTTGTTGGGCAAATTCTTCCGGACTACTCTTTGAAGTATACCAATTCATGAGAATACATAACAACGAGTCCGTAACCTCGTAGAGTTGTGCACTGTCTTCCACGTCCGTGTGCAGCCCGTGAACGGAAAGGGGATCATCGACCTTGACTGCATTCTGCCTTGTCTGAAGGTCCTCACGGACGGTCAAACATGAAGGATTCTCTTTCAATCGGTCGCAGAGATCTTGAACGCTGGCGGAGAGTTTTGTGTTAACCGGAAGTTTTTCAGCAGCAGCGCGACGAGAGGTTCGGTTGCTCGGAATCACAAAGGGTTTGATACCACGCAACGCAGCTTCCGTTAATGGATCTCGATCAAGTGCCTTTTGGAACTGTTGTACAAACTAAAGCAAGTCAGATGGCTTAGTAGTGACCGGAAACCTCCCTCCTTAAGTTACCTGTTCATCTGTAAACAGTACGTTGAGAGTCCGGCTTTGCAGCTCCTCGTGCAAAAGGCGACTAGGTTCTTCCCCCATTGTTTGGGCGACCTGTGTAGCAAACCGCCAGTAGCCTCCGGGCGACAAGAAGGTCTATTTCGATCCATTTTGTCCATCTATACATTCATATACGCTAGTCCTTTTACAATCTGCCAGGTCAACGTGTGTTGACCTGGCAGATTGTAAAAGGACTAGCGGGACTTCACGTTTGGACCCGCCTCTTCCTGCAGATACTATCCCAATGCAACCGCAGAGGCTACATTTCCAGCACACCCGTCGCACGAAAGGTGACCTCCACGGTGAGTCTCCACTCCACCATACCGTAGAACTTCCTATCTTGAAGGCCCCTGACTGATGTACGGTGACATCTCTATTTCTTCTACGAGGCATAAGTGAGAGATGAGATTAAACGAGACATTGCACATCGGGTGTCATGGATAGCGAGATCATGAATTCCCGAGCCAGACTAATCAATGATGAACGCTCCATCTCCTTCAGACGCCCAGGAGATAAATGTTCCTTTCTCCTGCACGTCCACCCGTTGCCTGGTTGTCTTTTTTCGTCTGTTCTGTTCATTGCTTCTGTCGCTCATCCATAACTCAAACATCATGACAGCACCAACTAAAGATCCTGCATGGCTTTGCAGCGTGGTCAATTTATTTGTCACCATACCGTTTCTCGTGGCAGCTTGCACCAAGTTGCAACTGAAGCGCGCGGCCCCTACTCTGTGTTTTTTGAATGCCTCTTGCCAAACACTTCTTGCCATTGTCCTTACCATCATCATCGCTCAGGCTCCGTCCTCAGCTGTTCACGTTGTTGCCCGCGTGTGCCTTTTTGCCCTTTGTTTTCTGGATGTGAGTTCATTCCCCTCTTCCGTTGGACAACAATCTGACAGATCATATAGGCTGCTGAGGCATACGCTTGCTTGGAGCTTGACCATTCAAGTTTCTGCATTAAGTACGGCTGGACCACAGTCCGAGGCGTGACGATTCTTTTATGCTTCATCGCTTTCAGCCTACTTACATCGTCGTTAGTCTTGTTATTAGTATTGTGAGGGTTCCTCTTCGATGACTTACTTGAATGGCACTAATCAACCGCTGACACAGACAGGCTACATCTATTAGCTCACTTCTCTTCACCCTTGCCATCTCACTTTGTTGTCTTTTTCGGAGTGGTTGGGCCGGGACAATATTGTCAATTACAAGACGAGAACGACGTTACGTTCGCATTGTGTTGTCCTATGATTTGAGTCGGTCAATCTTTTTGACTGTCCTAGCTTTTATCGTCTTTGGACTACAACAGAGATTCAATCAACGGGAGATATTGTGGCGTACGGTCAGTTGAATCTAATCTCCACGACACCACTCCCTTGCTCACTTCTCAAGATTCAACTCTTAGCTAGCAATAGCTTACTAGGATTGTTCGGGATCTTCAAGTTACTACGACTCAATAAAGACCCGATTGATAACGTATCGTTTGTCAGGCCTAGCGGGAGCCGCGAACAGATTCTAGAAGAGGACGACACAAGGTCTCATTCAGTGACAACATTTACTATAATGGACCACCGCATTGGTGGTTTCTACCCAACACCCGAGCCGTCGAGAGAAACCGAAAACGACGTTGTATTTAAGCTTTTGGACTCACTCCCCAATTTTGGAGACTCAGGCCTAGCTCCGTTGGCCCTCACTTCCCTGGTACCTTCGAAGCTGCCGGTGATTGAGATTCAGGATGAAGAATGGCTTGCATGCTTCCAATCACAGACGACAGCTATTTATCGTGATCGACAGCTTGGAATGTCCGTGATATCTCTTAAGGAGGCGGTTCTCGTGCTATACCGTCTTAGTGGCATGGATGGTATACGCATTCCGAAGGAGCACGTCGACGCGGCATTGGCCGAATTAAAGAGAAGGCTCTTATACTTTGCCATTGACCGGCGTAATAAGGGGGACATGAGAGAATACTTTGCTGTGTTGCCACTGGTTTCCATCGGAGAATTGATTGGTCTGAAACTCAACGAGACGACATATACTGGACACCTTCGCAAATGGGATTCGAAGGAAGGAGATTTGTGGCATTGTATCCTTCGCGGGAAATACGAAGAAAAGATCTACTTCGACTGGAAAGAACTAAACGAGTCGCAAATTGTGCTCACTGGAGACATGCGACAACTACGCCAAGAACTTTCGAAGAAAGAGAAATAGGTTGGATTCACATCTCTCTGGAGCCATTCGTCAATATCGAAATGCTGAGTCTTTTCTGACTAATGTCTCGGCCAGTGCAGTTATCATTCTTTTTCTTTCCATAGAGAGGCGATATGGTGTAAGAGATACAAAATGGCTGGGTCTGATTGTCATCCACTTGGGAAAGACCTGAGATGAAGAAAGTCACCTATTAGGCAACAAAAGTACTAGCGATAATAGTACACGCTCATAGGGGGGACTTTCGCGATGCCCTAACCACAGCACCTCCTAATGAAATTTCATTCTTCCCAACGATAGAGCGACGTGCCTTTCATCCCTGCCTTCTACAATTCACACAGGCGCTGCTCATATCCCTGTTTGCTTGGCGTCGACGTGGACTAGTAACTCTCATCTTACTCACCCTAGAGAAGTACCACACCTCAATCGCTTCATGAGGGAAAAGATGAAGTTCAGCAATGAGAACAGTGTAAGTTGCGTCTCAAAGCCAGTGGGCAGCACATTTGTCTCTAAGAACTGGAAAGAGTGGCTGGCATATGCATTGGTCCTTTCATGATAAAGGCGGCGTTTTTTGTCGCCGACAGCGCCTACTGGTATCCTGGACGTTCCCAAGGTCCGTCAAACGTTGAGAGTATAAGATGGAGCGATCACTCCGCCGGTCGCTCTCGCCTTTCTCTGCGCTCTAGACATCTGGGTAGCTTCCCAACTTGAATGGGAGATCGCTTTCTGTCTTATTGACGTATCCGCACTTCATCTCCATGGAGTTCTGGCATAAGCTTCGCCGGCATGTCCAGATTGGTTGGTCGCCTCTGGCCATCTTCCGCAAGACAGATTGTGACTCCGAGAGACTCTTATCCGACTCCGAGGCCTACGGAACGATGTCATCCGAGGACCGCACCGACACGACCAAGGTTCAACCCTTTCGAAGCTCACGACAGCAATCTTGGTTCTCTATCGAAGGGCTCCATCTTCTTCTCCTCCACTTTTGGCTTTCGAAAAGTGCATATCTCAGGCAGTTTGGCGTCCTCGTTCCTTACATCTGCCCTTCGGGAGACTGGAAGACACAAACGAGCATCTTGGTGATGATTCTCCTCTTTTTCAAGGACCGTGCTTTACAGGTATTGATACCACGCCAAGTGGGCATCATCATGGATACTATTCGGTCAGGATCCAGTAATCCTTGGACGATAATGACGAAGATTTGTTGGTGGATGTTTCTCGACGTGGCGCTTAAGTTTGAAATTCCCGAGGCGGTAGCTATGACCCGGGTCTCCCATGTCGCGACGAAGAATTTAGTCGCGTCTTTTCACGCTCACATTTTGAACCTTTCCTTGGACTTCTTCCGAGGCGAACGCTCCGCCGAGCTTCTTACAACGCTCAATGATGGTGAGAGCATTAGCGAGGCGATCGCAGAGTTCCTTTTGGACCTTATTCCTATGGTGGCAGATCTTGTTGTTGCCATGATATATCTTCATTACACCATTAACGGGTACGTCACACTGGCCATTGCCTTTTTCGGCGCTATCTATATCTTCTTGATACAGTACGGAATATGTTGGCAGTCCGATTCATATCGATCTTATGTCGAGAAGCGTCGACAAGTCCAACATGAATTGCAAGATTCGATCCAGAATTGGCAAGCCATTTTTTGTTTTCGCCAACAAGACTATGAATCTCGCCGGTTCTTGGAGACTTTGACCGAGCTATTGAGGAGACGAACAAGATATTACATGAGACACTATCTGGTATCCAATGCCCGAAGTTTGCTTCTCAGTTTGGCGCTGCTAGGAGCGGCTTCCGCCACGACTTTGGGGATCAGGAATGGGGCGGCACCTTCCAACTTCGCGGTCCTTATCACGTATTGGGCTGCCATATCGAGAAATCTCAGCGGACTGACCAAGAGCTTACGAAATTTTGGAGAGATGCTGGTGTCCGCGGAGAAGCTCGTCAGGATTCTCCAGGCAAACCCTACCGTCGTCGATGGAGCGAGATCGTTGCTTATACAAGACGGGGCCCTTTTATTTGAGAATGTTTCGTTTACGTATGCAGGACATGCTACTGGAGTCCAGAACATCAACTTCAAAGTTCCGGGCGGATCAACGGTGGCATTGGTGGGCGAGAGTGGTGGAGGCAAATCTACCATTGCCAGCCTCTTGCTTCGGCTGTACGACGTGGAGAACGGCGCGATTAAGATTGACGATCAAGATATTCGGGATGTCACGCTGTCCAGCCTGGGGGATGCAGTTGCAATTGTGCCACAAGAGTCTCACATCTTCGACCGACCTGTCATTGACAACATTCGATGTGGGAGGGGCAATGCCACCGAGGAGGAAGTGATAGAAGTGTGCAAGGCGATCGGACTCCATGATGCGATCATGAAATTTGAAGAGAACTACCAGATGAAAGCAGGTGAAGGAGGCAATCGATTATCTGGTGGACAGAGACAGCGGGTTGGAATTGCTCGAGTCCTTTTGAAAAGACCGAAGGTGATCATCCTTGACGAACCTACGTCGGCTGTTGACTCGGTCACCGAGGCCAAAATCAAAGAAACATTCGACCGCTTGAGTTATCGCCCCACCATTCTTGTCGTTGCTCATCGACTCTCGACCATCAAGGATGCAGATCTCATTCTTGTCATCCATGAGGGTCGCATCAGTGAGAAAGGTACCCACTCAGAGTTAATGGCACAAGATGGGATGTATCATGAACTTTGGTTGTCTCAGTCAAAATAGACACTAGCATAAAGAGACCGACATCGGCTCACAAAAGGTGTCTTGATCTCTATGCTCATCACGGTCGGGTTGGTAGGAAGGCAACATTGTTTGTTGAGAATCCTTTGGGGACACTTCATTTTGCCTCGCGATCAGTTTTTGCGGATTTGTATCATCGTTAAGGACACCGTAGAGGTCCTTGAATACAGGTTTATGATGCGAGGCCTTTGTGAGCTCCGTGAATTTCGTTTAGATCTCGTTTTATCACCTTCATTATGTGGCCATCACACCAGTTCACTATTCATTATAACGATCGAGCGATATACTCTCTTTCTCAGTTTTCCACAACCCTCATAGGCGGTACTCACGCACTTACTTAATTGATGACGAGGCTTTGTGGGCTCATTGGCCTGATAAGCAAAAGGATTCCCCAATCGTTACGTCCTGTATCAACATCTAGGCTGTATATCAGCCACCAGAGATTCGTTCCTTGGCCTTCAATATTTTTCTAGTCATTTATATAGTCCAAGCACCCCCTGACCCTTCCACAGAGAACAAGGAACCTTTTCAATCTCTCAGAGTTTGACACCCTGCCCGCCCCGACTCTCTTGTTGTTCTCTCATCTTGAGCTCTCTTGCACTTGACATTTGTCCGGTCCGAGCCCTACAGCGTTGAAAGACTTACCATTCTTCCTTCCACAGAGACGCACGACCTCACGAAAGTATCGAAAATCTACACCATGGACCCCCGGTGGTTTGACGACAACTGCGAGGCAATCCTAGACGCATGGAAGGACTATGAAACGAATGGCGAGAAGGAGCACCTCATGAAGGCACTTGACGACGGCTGGGACGAAGTAATGAGGACCTTTGAAAAAGCACGGGACAAACGAAAGGCCACATCCTGGCCAATACTGGTGAGCGACACTCTAACCGATGCGATGGTGTCCACCGAGAAGAACCGTACACTCCCGGACTACGCGATCGTCGTTTGTCATTGCTCTACTGTATTGGGGTTCATTAGGGGCGTGTGGAAGGCACTTGAACGTCGAGAGCCAGAAGAGATAGACAGTCGAGTGACCCATCTAAAGTGGGATCTTAAGTCACATAATACGAAATTTCGACTGGGAAGATACACACTCCAACCTTGGGGGTCGAAAGACGAGCATAAGAAGGCAGAGAACAGTCCTCCTTCCACCTGGAAAGAATGACTCGGTCAGCGCAGTATGGCTTTAGACCGGTAGAGCTCCCAATTCTGACCGATTGAACATCCTGCATTGCAGCTGATCTACCAGAATAAAGATCTTCACTCGTCTCGTATCTTTTGCCCAACTTCCTGTCTCTTTCAAAGGTAGAGCAATGATAATTATGGGTTATGATAAATTAAGGCGGGAGAATAGGCATTGGTCTGATAAACAAGATTATTAGATCTTCACGTCATTGTATCAAAATCTGAACGGTATTCCAGCCTCCATGAATTCTCTAGTTATCTATATAGTCTAGGCGCCCTCTGGAACGCGTCCATAGAGAGCAAGAAACCTTTTCAATCTCTCAAAGTTGACACCCTACCTGTCCCCATTCTCTTGTTATCCTCCAGTCTTATGTTCTCCTGCACCTTACATTTCTTCATTTCATCGAAACGCACGACTTGCACTCTCCTGTCACAGTACTCGATATTCGCCATCATTTACAGAGCCCTCTGACCTTGTCATCACTACACCTATGGCTCTCGCGTGCGACAAACCAGGCATCTCGCCGGACTCTCAGTGGCCATGTGGCTGTCGGCTCAGCGAGAAGAGCCCTGTGTGTGGAATCCAACAAGACACGACGTCCTGTCCTCAGCTGAATTTTCCGAAGCCTGATGGCGTCGCTGTTGTAGTCGCAGACAGACCTCTGCTTCGAATGGATGGCTCGGTCGATGTTGATAGCGGCCTACCTATGAACACAATTCGCTTCCCAGATGGGACCAGCAGCAGTGTGAAGATGATTGGGGAGCTGCCTCTGGCATACAAGAGTGGATATCCTATTCTCATATCCGAGCACAAGCTTTGCAACGCTAGCATCACTTCAATCAGGGCCCCAGAAAGAGAAACCAGGATACCAGGGTACATTTACGAGATACAAGAAGATCCCAACCGGTTTGCCTTCTCCGTGATACCACTTTTCCTTCAAGATCACCGACAATGTCACGACTGCCCGAGCATCAATCAAGTCGTCAAAGTGGTATCCGAATTTTGGCGCGAGTCCCAAGATAATGCCACTCCGGAGTTTGAACGGTTCGTCGTAGCCCTTCTCTCCGTGTTTTACAACACTGGCATACGAATGGGCTTAGGGTTCGGCCAATACAATGGAACATTACGACGGGCTACACTACGAGACGAGAGACTCATCTTGTTCTGCGACAACGAGAAGCATAGGGACAGTGAATGCGACCCCATACTCGAGGTTGAGATTCGCTGTGAAAGCGTCTTGTTGAGTGCTTCAGGAATCTATTTGGTGGACGATACCCACAAGCTCGCGCAAGGTCTGTTATGTTGTCATCAAACTGAGCCCACGCTGGCATGTCATACTGTATGGAAGTCATCCTCGAGCACTCAGCCACATACAATCAACGTCCTTGCCGACCGTGATCGCGTGATGGTTACTAAGACCTTCTCCACGGGCTACCCGACTCCTGAATGGGAGAAGATAAGACACATACTTGAGGATCGCCTCGCATATCAACGCGAAGTTCTGACTCCCGATGAGTTCGAGGTCCTGTTGACACAAATTCGAAGACACGAACAACAATCCCGAGCCACTCCTGAGCAGGCACTCAGGGGAGCTGTCAACTCGATCCCCTACATAAAGAACGCACGGCTGCGACACATCATGATGCAAAAGTCGAGAAAAATCCACCAGTCACAATATCCGATCCCCCAGCCCGTTCGTGAAGCGATATGTCTTCAGCAAATCTTTCTTGACCCTCCTCAGACATTCGGAGAAGAAGAATACGAATCCCTAAATCAGAAGCGACAACAAAATGAAGCCAATTTAATTGTGGAAATTGAGCGCGTATGGTCGAAGGACGTCACTAAAGAAGAAAGTAAACCGGTTCTCGGGTTTGTGCTACGTATGCTTGCGTTGCTGCAGTATTTTCCGGCAAGACTTTATGAGTACGAGGACGAGGCGTCAGAGCAAGAAGAAAAATCAGGCTATCATTCCCTGGCAATACAGCACTCTGGAGTGCGCCTGGATTTCCCTCGAGCGCGCTCATTATCCTTCGAATGGATGGCTTTGGAGAGAGCTTTTCGTGACGGAGAGATGGCAGGTCAGCTCGGCCTCAAGTTTGACACTCTCCCTGATGTATTCACGAAAATACCACAGTTCGAAGGATTCTACGAAAAGATATTTTCGCCCCTTTCAGAAAAGTACTGGTGTGGAAGGGTCGAATCGAAGGAGGACCTGAGTTTACTTTGTCAGTGCTTCAAGACCTTACCCAGTGCTCCCCCACCTGCGGATACCACCTATGTTCTTATGAGGCCGGCGCGACCATACAAGATTCAACAGGATTGGGTCTATCAAGAATACAAGTACCCTTTCACCACGTATGCCACGCAGTCGGGCTCCTCCATCTCGCTGGGAGAATGGGAATTTGATTATACGTCTTTCTTTTTCAAGGTGGTTGATCTAGGCGGGGATAACCAAACCACACCATTCCAGGATCACGGAAAGACTTCGAAGATTTCGTCTCCCGCACTCTCTGACCCCGAAGCGATGCCATTTCCTGGCTCGAACACAAAGTTCAAGCACTTCCCGACCTACGACCATGTTTCAATCATGGTCGAGGAACGGCAGGATCAAGATTACAGTTTTCGTCATGAACATTCTCAATGGATACGATCAGAGCATGAAAAAGCGAATCATCATAATATTGTGGAAAAAGACGCACACATGCAAGACACTGATATGGTTTGATTGAAATGAACGACGACAAACTGACGTTCGAAGATGTGAGATGAACTGCACAGAGCTTAAGACAAACTCACAATGAGCCTTATTGGATTGACTGAGTATTGCTCATAACAAACAGTCTCTGTTTAATCTCTATTTCTTGTCTCTGGTCATGCCCAGACAGTTCACATTCAAGTCCGGGCCTTCTTACATTCCTCACACAGTATCGCATTATCACACCATCTACCAGTTCAATGTAGCTCTACAAAGACAGGCATAGTGACATGCCTTTCTTCTTCGCCTTCTACACTAGTCGCAGGCCCTACTCACAAGTTCGCTCTGACACTAGCGCGTAATAGACTCTTTCATATTCATCTTCAAGGGAGTCATATCTAGATGATTCGTTACGGAGCAATCAATTCTAAGAATCGACTCGAGTAGTTTTAGTTGTGCCTCTCAAGGTTTGGCATATGCCTTGACTGTATCCACATTCAAAAGGCCGTAAATCATTCCCTGATACTGTCTATCCTTATATTGGGACCTGTCTCCGGATGAACTGCTTATTCTCTGGCTTATGAAAAGGCAAATTTGATACAGATTCTGTAACCTTGTGAAGTCCATGACAAGCCGCCTTTGAGTCCTCCAAGAGGCGCAAGTTTGTGTCCAACTCTCAACTTCTGCAACTTCCAAACTCCCTTAACGACGTATACACTCCCCGTTTATGTATTTAAGGAGAATGGTTGCGCCAGACTATTTACGAAGTTCACTTTCCGCGCAAAGCAATTTGAAAAGTATTCCAACATACTATCCCCACAAGCGACCATGCCTTCCGATCTTGACCCTTGTCTGAAGGCTCTCATCGATAATCATAACAGGGACTGGCCCGGTGTGATGAAATTTCACCTTGACCTTGTCAGAGAGACGCTCATAAGTTACTCTCACAACCCAACGGACCAGAAAAAAGAGGATTTGCGGAATGCTCTCGATGACGCACTTAGGGTGGAAAATATCGATAAGACCATGAAAGGCTTGAATTATCTCCCCTCTCGGACAAAAAGCTTTCTAACAACATAAAAGGAATACTGGAAGACGCACGCAAGAGATGTTCAAAATAAATAAGTTTCTCTCAAACAACACGACACGCCGATGAGAAGCTATACTATACCGATCAAGTCATTCTTTCCTTTTCGTTCCGATCTCTCCGACCATTTTCGATCAATCTAAGAGAGAAGCGTCGCGTTGCGGATCTCGCCACACCGTGAGGTTCTTTTGGTCGTACAGCGAACTCTGAAATCTGAATCAATAGGCCTTCAATAGGTACCTAATCACTAAATGGAGACAAACAAGGCCGGAGGTAGTATCATTGTCAACCAACAGTCGTGAAGGCAGTGGGAAGACTAGTCTTCGACAGTAAAGAAGAATGGCCGGCGAACTGGGTGACAAAGCACATCAGCTCATGCGTCTAGACAGAGTTTTGACAGTACTATTGAGTGGTTCAACACCTTGATGTCTTAATTTAAGGCAGTCCCAAGCTTTGTTAATTTCATTCTTTCATACCTCACATCTGGTGGATTAATATTGGCCTTTCTGCTCCAACACTTAATTTCGGCATGGTTTATGACTCAATTCTAACGTTGAGTGTGTCTAGTGTCTAGCTCCATAGATAGGCAGCGGCTTTGTCAAAGAAATCCCTACTGATTCAAGCTTTTAATTGCACCTGCATTCTGAAATGGCAGCCAAAAACTCACAAAGTCAAACATGGAATTTATTGCGTCAGCATTAAAGTTTCCTTATCTAGCCTCCTTAGACCTTCAAATACCACCGGTCTCGTCCCTCCTTTCAATTAACATTGGCAAGAATATTTATTCTCTTGTCAATAGAACCCCCCAAAGCACGTTGTCACAATGACCAAGACTGACGATGAACCGAAGATAGCTGTTAGCACGAATATCTCTAGCCATTGTAGCTGGAAACCTGGAACGAAAATTGCTTCGATGGAAGAACTACCCGACAAACCGCTTCTTGAAATGGAACCACCCTCTCTTCACTACACATTCCACGATTCAGTCTTTTACACCATTTTCTTTAAGCACAATGATGATCGCTTGGAGGAAGCACTCGATACTGGTGCTGAAATGATGGGCTTGTCCACCACCGAAAGATATCACTGGAAATTCCCGGAGCTCATCACCCTTCTCCATCTTCGGCGCCCTCTTGCCTCTTACCCGCCATACAACCAGCTGGCGTATTCATCCAGAAATTCACTGCCGAATACAAGTCATGGCTCGATTCGCCGGATCTTGTGCTAGTCCACCAGAACAGCGCCATCCTTCGACTGTACCAAGCGGCCTGTACTCTGCTCATCGACATGTATCGCGCGCAGGAAGGCGACGTCTCTTCTTATGGAGAGGTCGTTGACTTCCATATAGATAGTGGCGGTGACAGCTTCAAGGTACTCCTAAAGAGCGCTGATGGCCAGTACAAAACCCTGCCGGTAAATTCAGTCGATGATCTTCACTCGACTGCGGCCTCCGCGGCCCATGTGGAGCCAGGGAAAGTGCCAGGGAATGACGGTGCTTTCGAGCAAGTTTGCGACATTTCAGGTCCCTCTACTACCGATAAAAACACCGAAAAGTCATAGAATCAATGACAGGAAGAATGTCCGGAAGCTTGATCTCTCCAGGGATTGAAATCAGGCACTCGAAGAAGCTTCAGAAAGCAATGCCAGTCGAAATAGTCTCGATTCGTCCTGTAAAAATTAATTGACCACGGCCACCCGCAACTCGCGGACACTACGAAGATTCATTTTGGGGATGTCTCGGTATTGAGCAAAAAGGGAGGCCGCATTTTGGTTTGATTAGCTTGGGAACTGAAGTGGTGTGTAGTCGGATATCAATTTCTTATGACGGGGATGCTACAGCAGAAACTCGTGTATGCTGTTTGATAATACTATATTGAGACTAGCCGTCATCATGATACTAACGGTATCTACAGAGTGCAAACCCATGTCTACGGCCGTTGCGGGTGAAAAATTTGCAAATGACTGGAAGTCAAAGATCTTTCCATTTCTCTCTAAATAGCCCCCCTACCATGTATCTCATACGGCCTACAAGGTAAGTGTGATACATGGCAGCTGCGGTCCAGTGATCGCAAGAAACTGATTGGCAGTAGAGACAATCCTTTAGCGAGCACCACACATTGCTTCCCACCATAAAGACGCGGTTATATCTTCTCAGTCATTCCCACCTTACTGTAACTTCCGCCACATTTTTGCTTTGGAAATTTCCTCCCAGCTCCCCCAACCTCAGCTCTGCAAAAACAGTTTACTTCTCTTCCACACCAGACAGATCGCAAGGAATTTTCTTCGTTATGGATATCAACAAATTGTTATCGAACCGGAGGCAGTCGGAAGAATCAGAGAAGAAGGAATTATTAGAGTCGACCCTGAAAGTTAATGACAAGATCCTCACGATGGTAAGAACGCTAATACATAAACTTTGCTCGATATGTCTCTGACTTCTACGCAAAGACCACAAGACATTTCTCCTTCCAACAGTATATCGTCATCATCTGTTCCTTGTTCGTATGCGTCGGATACCACTATCGTAACGGCGATGAAAGACCACTGGAAGATATCCTTAGAAGGGACCTGGGAGACTGGAACCAAGACCCTAAGCCAATATGCTGGGATATTTTCTGTCAGACCTTCTCCTACGTTGCTTGGATGAAGTCAACCAGAAATGAGCTGGAGCGACAACTAAGCTACATTCTCGGCGAGGTACGACATCTCCCAGAGAAATCTCTAGATACAATCCAGTGCGTTCAATCAGAGGCTTTCTGCTGGATACGAAATATAAAACTCATCTGTCTCATTTATGGGGCCCCATTTGGACATCTCGACATGCCCAAATTTTGGGTTACAGACAAGCTAGACAATTTGGTCTCCTTGCTCAGTGATTCTCCGATGTTTCCAGGTTCCATCTCTCGGACGGAATTAGAATCAATCATGCGAAAACTATGTCGGTTGTTCATGAAGGACACCCCTGATGGACTTCATATACCTCCTACGACAAAGAAGAGGCGTTCTAGTGAGCGATTAGGTGCACAGGAGAAGTTTGTCAAGCGGGATTAATCAGCTGTTCTTTCCGTCTACGAATTGCACAGCATCTCCCTAGCGAAATAGGTTTCTCGTTATATTTGTGAGAGTAGTGGACGCTGTACGGAGTACAGTAGTTGCAGATCTCGAGAATACCCATTGTACCCCTACTCTTTAGACTGTTAATATTGCCGAGATGGTATGTGCTCCGCGTGAGACCCCAGCTAGGTCTGTTATGATGGTGGCGCAGGACGTAATCTCCCCTAAGAAGCTTATAGTTTGCTGTGTTTCTGGACTCCCCGTCGTGAGGGTTGCGCATTTCAGCTTCGGCTATACTGTATTGCATCATTAAGCTCTCTGCCTATGTCCAGCCCTGATTCCTCTAGAGTGGTACTTTACGATAGCATGCCGTCCATTCTGCCTAGTTCTCAGGGTTTAGGGGCAGATCAAGTCATTTCAGCCATTCTGCCTGACTGACCGGCATCAACCCAATGCGCCGCCTTGATCCACCTTCACCCAAGTTAAAAATGACGGCCTCCTTGTCTTCGCTAGCGACCACGTATTCCATGCAGGTGCGACTCACTATGAGGCTGAGTTTGCCTGAACAACATCAAATATTTGCCTGATTTTGCCTTTCGGTTCGCGAACTCTTGCCAGAAGACGTATAAGGCACAGTTCCACCCACTGCTCGCAAGTCTAAATATCCCCGGCGAAGTGCTCATCTTCTCACTCATCAGACATCTGACTGTCGCACTGTATGCTGTACGCTGGACCCATCATGACGAATACGATATTAAACAGGTGTTTCGGGGGAAAAGCCCCCAGAGGGTAATGCCTTCATAAGCGTCATCTTCTTCTGCGTTCGGCTAACTATGTTTGCCGTTACAGCAGTTCTCATGCCTACCAAATGCCGTTACAACCCGAAACAAGGCCCATCTCACAGGAACAGCTCATCATCGAAGCGAAAGAGATATATGCTAGCCTCGTTGAAGTCGAGAAGAAGTGTTTAGAGATCTGCCAGCAGCAGTCCCAGACTACAAACGAGCTCTCCAATGAGCAATGGCAGGCATTGATTGTCTTACATCGGACCCTGTTACACGAGCATCATGATTTCCTTTTGGCCAGTCAACATCCTACGGCGTCACCTGCGCTTCGACAGTTACCGACGAAATATGACATGCAGGCGCGAATGTGGAGGCATGGTATTCACTTCTTCCTTGAGTTACTCCGCCATCGACTGCCGTTCTCACTGGAGCATATGCTCACCTTCTTTCATCTCTCTTATCAAATGATGGGCTTGATGATGGAATCAGTGCCTGCTTTTCATGAAACATGGATAGAATGCCTAGGAGACCTGGCTCGTTATCGAATGGCCATCGAAGAATTTGATATGCGGGACCGAGAGAACTGATCTGATACTGCCCGAATATGGTATACTTGTGCTGCTGACCGCTCTCTCGCGACCGATCGTATATAGCATCACTTGGCCGTTTTAGTAAGACTCAATGTGGTTCGTCAGCTGTTTTATTATTCTAAGGCACTCGTTAGCGATATCCTATCTGTGAACGCTTGGCACTCAATCATGCTTTTGTTCTCTCCTTTTCTCGATAGGTATGAGATAATAAGTTAGAAGTACCTTAGGGTAGAAACTAGTCTGGTTATCGCGGCGGGTGTTCTCTTTACCTGTGGATTTATCTATAATTATTATTTACATATTCTTCGGTTTGTATTTGAGTTAGACGAAACTATTAACATAATAGGATCGAACTTTAAGATATAAGGAGCAGAAATGGCATCGACCCTTATTGCCATGATCCTTAACTTCGGATCTGACGAGAATGTCCTATGGAAAGCCCTTTGTGCGGACTTAGAGAAGAATAAGCAGCGCCAAAATGAAGAACAATCAGATTAGCCCTTTGATACAAATCTCTCTGAGAATCTCGTGGCCAAAACTCAAACGCGCCGGAAATTCTGGGAGTAAGATAGCCCTATCAATATTCAAAACTTTGTCTAGGCTACTACGCCACTTTGTGATAGACTAGAGATCAAATTCTCTCCTTCGAACGAAGTAACGTCATACGTTCTGCCTGTTTGATACCAATGCATTTCTATCGTTGCGGCCAAAGTCGGAGACAGAAATATCCTCCCGTTTCTACACTTCACTCTGTCGTTTCTATGGGGTCTGTCAGATGTTCTAGAGACTCTTATCTACCTCGAAAAGTACGTCTCATGGGACAAATTGGTTTTGTCGTTAAACTCGATAAGCAGGTCTGGTGTGGTTGACAGAGAAGTTGAGTCCCCAGCTTTCCCCCAACAACAGTCAGGTACAGGTCCTCAATTACCAGAGGACTTCTTAATGCGTGGGTTCAAATGGTCTCACTGTCACTACTATCCCCCCGAATTTTTCGAGGGACAAGTGACAGACGAGGATGACCGCACACTGGAGCTTCCAAGTCACGCACCGCCACGTGCAGGGAGATGTCTCTGGCTTGGTGTGAGGCTTGCTTCTGTATGCGAAACCACCAACATTTTGCTTTGAAGATTCGCTAATGTTTTTGCCTAGTTAAAACGCTATATCACTTATGACGGCAGGTCGAAACAATTCGCTTGCACAGAATTCACGCAAGCACTGCCACCTATCTCACTCACCAATATCTCCCAAGTCCCTGCCATTTTTGAGAATGGAGAGACATCTCCTGGATAGACGTCATCTAAGATTCGAAAGTTCAAGCGTCCTTGGAATGTACTCGTGTAATCTATTGACCCTCAGGAAGCGTCCCTGCAGCAGTTCTTACTTGTGTATTTTCGTCGAACACCACTTTTGTACTGGCGACGAACGGCCCTTCCGCTCATACTTTCACTGCTACGTTATTGCCGAAACAAATTCGAACAGGCAAACGACATTCGTGTGAAATCTTACATGGGGCAAATGTAACTCGGAACAGCGAGAGTGGCATTTCATCTTGATGCAAAATGTCGTTGGGCATTTAAGGGTGGAGGTTGACGATATCTTTTGGTTCATTCGATACTTCTTATTTCAATAATCCGTCGGGTTAGAAACTTCAATGACGAAGACAAAAGCTGTCTCCACCTGGGTCGCACCAGGTATCTAAGATACTGAAGTATCTTCAAATAAGAGGCCGAGTGGCAGAGTTAGAGATAAAGAGTAGGAGAACATTTAGCGGAATGGCATTACTGGCAGTCTGACGATGATAGTATTTTGGTCGATATATAAAACTTTATGTAGTAATGACCAATTGGTCCAAATTAGTTACTCTGTGTTCTCATTTCCAGGAGTGTCATTCCTTGTCGATAGGGGCGACAAAAGTTGGTGTGAAAAATCGTGTTCTCTCTCTCCCTCCTGATTCTTGGTCTCTAAGTTATATTTGACAACGAAGTGATGATCTCACTATACATGTACTTCATGCCGACCAATTTTCTAGGCACAGCAGGCCACAAATGCAAGTGTACGTATGTTGAGAGCTTCGAAGTCCGAGCAGGGGTAACATGGCGCAGAACGCAATCTCCACTGATTTCCCAGTCCCGTAGCTGCGCAAATATGGTCTACAACATATATTATTCCCGCTCTTCGTCTGATTCCCTACTCTTCTCACCTCATCTCACTAGATGCTGTGATCGAAATGGCTTTTCCACATAGGAAACGACGAGGTGCATGCTTGTCCTGTAAGAAACGCAAAACCAAAGTACTTTACATCCTTCGCGTCTTGAAACAGAACCTTAACAACTTTCATATAGTGCGATGGCGGAAAGCCTTGTCAGAGTTGTCAGAGAAGACAAGTCGAGATCAAGTGCATTTACGAACAACCCCAAATTACTGTAGCTACCAAATTTCAAGATACACCTTTTCGGTCGATATCCTGGATAGCGAATCTCCGTTCGAAATTTCAAAAGGCACAAAATTTCCTTAACATTGCGCACTTCGAAAGGGCTTGGATTGTTCTTGGGTCTGCTATTCGTGAGGCTGTGACTCTAGAGAGAGGTGAGTTTCGGGGTAATCTACGCATACCACCCTGCTAAATAGAGAAGATCTCCAAATGTCGAACTGCTTTCGAGAAGTTTGGTGGTCACTAGCCAGCCTCGATGCTAGATTATGTTTGTTGATTGATCGTCTACCGTGTTTACCACCGAGTTCGAAGCTGGCAACCCCGGCGCTACATCAGCCGCAGTCTCGCGAAGGCGAGTTCAGAAAAATTCAGTTTGACGTCTCCGCTACGCTACTCGAGGCATGTCACGCTTCGCCATCCGTCGACGGACTCGATGAGTACATAAGAAATTTAGAGCGAGATCTGGCAGCCTTGCTTCAAATTCAAAAGAGTGTGGTTCGAGGTTCTGAGCTATCAAATGACACTGAAGACTTGACATTCGAGGTGCTGTTATTCTCCATGATCTTATACTTGAAGGTCTGGGACGGAGAAGGAACAGCGAGCAAAGCTGTTTCACTAGCGACAGTGATCATGGAGAAGTGGCACGATCTTAGGCGCAGTCCTCAGGACTGGCCTCACAGAACCGCAGCAGACCTGGCATCGAAGACTCTGGAGAAGGGCCAGATATTGATTCCCACAACTACGACTCCTGCCGAATCAGTCAATGACAACAAGGTTCTTGACTCAAATCTGAAGTCCTGTGTCCACGACTTCAGCCCGTACACCATCTCTAACAACGATGGCTATTTCCCAGACGAAGTCTCCGATATTCAACCTCTTCAAATCCATTCGGAAGATGAAGGACACATTGGCTGGTATTCGAAAAGTGATTCAGAGCCGGGCCATCACTCCACCTTGGACCAAGCAGCCCACAATCCGTTATATCTTGATACCGCATCGTTTGATCCTCCCACGATAGCACTTAATCTCGGACCAAAAATGGTCTCTGAAAGACAGTGTGCATTACCGACTTCGACTTTTGCATACAAACGACCAGTCGTGCCTTTACCGGTCACACTGCAGAACGATTTGAACGATGGCCAGTTTTTAGATACATCTGTTTGCATGCAGTCCAACAGCATGAGTCAATATAGATGGATTGGCGATGATACGAAGTGTCAAGGAGAAGCTCCACCCTTTTTGGCGTGACGAAATCTCCAAGGGATGTTTACTATCGACTATACTGTACTACAATCATGAATCAGTGGATAGTAACCCTGCGAGAGCTTTTTCACTTTGTATTCAGGGCAGGAAGCAAGCCGTAGCCACGAGCCTCTGGTATTCTCGTGCTCAATATTTGTATCGACGCTGGAGCTGAGGAGCCCAGTGCCTCCCGCTTGGGGTTTGTATCCAGTCGATACTTTCACATCCTTGGCTTTTTACCCTTCTGCCTCACCTCAGCTTGACGAAAGATCGTCATCTTAGTCTTTCTTTGAGTCTCCCTCGTCGTGTTTGTAGTCATGGAATCTTTTCTTCGAAAGGGGTGTGAAGGCCAATGTGGAACCCGAGTCCATGTCCTTTAGATAGCAAAGAGCACTGATGCCACTTTGACTACCCGACATCCGCCTCTTAGCCAGCAAAACCCCCTTACAGCGGCCGGGAAAACTTCTACTTATGCCCAGCTTTTAGGCTATGGGCCCTGAAACGTAACATTGACAGCTCCTGGCGAGTTGCTCCTCGGGCTTCTTCTCTTCTACAGATACCAGCCACCCTGTCGATGATGGAAACTCACCTCTGTCTCGTATTCCTTCCACCCTCAAGGAAATCTCTAGAATCGAGAACCTCCTCCATCGAATCAACGATTTCGACCCGAAGATACTGAACCTACTTCAGACACTACAACCATCTTTTGACCACCCTTTTGTCGCCCTCTCTTGAAAACCGTGGGCAAGTCAACTGCTGGTGGGAAACAAAGTGACGGCCAGCTCAAAATGATGCAGTGTCTCCTTATACTTGGTTCTCAATCGAAGCTCTCGGCTTCCTTGAAACGTGAATCTGATGATACACGTGCACTGGAAGATTTGGTCCAAAGAGACGAGGAGGAGTGGCTTCCGAGGGTGTACACAGAAGAGTATAAGACTTTCCAAGGTGCAGAATCAGACCACAGTATCAGCTGGGAAGGACTCACCTCGGAGTTTGTGTCCGCCTTCCCTGGAGTCCTCCCGAAAGAAGCGGAAGCTCAAAAGACGCTAGCATTTCAACTGCGCAGTCAGCTCTGGCACAATCTTAAATAGATGAGCCAGCTCCCGGATTGGCCTCAGAAGCCGTTCCTAAAACCACTACGACAATTCATGTGCGCAGAGCTCACGGGGGAGATGAACGTTTGGTTGGTTCTTCGCGGCTCTGCTGTGATTCCTTCTGGCGATTTGACTGGTTTAATACCGTGGAACAGACATAACCGGGACTTGAAATAGCTGGCGGAGATTCTGGGCACTTCATGTCTGTTTAGCAAACCTCTCACCGATAAGAAGCTTACTGCGACATCGCTTTAAGACTGTATCCAGAAACTGGAGGTTTTATTTTGTGGCTTAGGAATTGATTAGTAAGTTTAGGGTCGATGTAATTCGGAGTCTATACTGACAATTCACTATACTGACAATTCATCTTCCTAATAGTATTAACTCGAGCGAAGCAACATATGTGGTGGCATTTTACCTGTGCAAAGCGAATGACGACGCCTTTATCAGACATTTTCGAAGTTTACCTTGCCTGTCGACCATCGGCAGGGACCCCAGTTCCGAGCCTGGGAAATGGCAGTATCGATGCGTTTTGGAAAAGCACGAGTCGTCAGTCACCCAAGACGATCTCTTCATAAACAATCGGCGACCGACATACTATAAGGCCTTTGAATCTCAGTCTCAAGCTCGTCAATGCTGGGAAGACATCGTTGGAAGGTCCCAACAACTTTTAGATCATCGCTGTCCAAGGCCTTTTCCGGGCAATATGAGCACGTCAGATCGTCCTGAGGTTTTTGAGGCCGTCGAGCTCGTCCGATCATATATGCCCTGAAGAAAACAATGATGACAGAACCACCAGGAAAGTCATCTGAAATTACAAAAGTGGACGGAGATTAACAAACTGAGTCAAGTCCCAGAGAAAGCTGCCAAATAATCATTGGTGTCCAAAGGACTTGCTGTTAGTAGTAAAAGGATCGTTCTCTTCAGAGTGTTATCGACAAAGCTCGCAGGTATTAATTGTCTCTTTTCAGTCTCACTCGGTCACTCATTCTACAACAGTGCTTGTGCGTGATTTAAGTAATACCATCCCACAGATCCTATGACTAGGCAAATCGAGACTTTATGAACCGATGAGGATGGCTTCGACTGGAATACTCCTTTCGCATATGTAATATTTTACTAACCTCATTGTTGACAGGATCAGACTCATCGATGCAGCCTAGGCGCTCCCACCAAATTGCCTTGCCTTCTTGCTAACTGTCTGCCCCTTAATCGGGCCAGTTCCTCCGCAATCAGTTGTTGGTGGTAGCACAGTGGAGCTATGATTGCGCTATAACACTTTATATAGACAGGCACCACAGCAAACAGGTGATTGACCGAAGGTTGAAGAAACTGGAGAGGCTCTCCTCGTGTATAGAACGTGATAGTGATAACTCCTATAGGCGCCCTCAAGGCGAAAGACACCAAACTTGAATAACGGGAGACAAAAGTGTAGTTTTCGTCACCCGATAAGAAATTAACCGTGACTTGCTCTGGCTGCCGACAACTATTTTGGTCGAAAATCGTGAGGTATACGGTATAGCCGTGTTGAGCGACTGTGAGAGTCGGGAAAAACTCGATCTCGGACATGGTTGCCTGCGGAGGGTTCGATTGTTGCTTTCGCGGGAAAGCTTTGCAGGATGACTTGAGAACCGGTGTGCTTCGCCTTAAGTATACCTAGATACTACGCTTTGCGCGAACCGCGCTAGTCGCTCTGTTGTCGGGATCTTGAACTCGATTCTCTGGTTTTGACCTATAGTCCTCTCACTTTATGCGCCCGTATCAAGCGATGGAGACGTCGACCATTCTTTGAAAGTCTACAGGCATATAAGTCTGGTCATGGGATTGCGAAACGCTCGGTAATGACAGCCATTGGGAATCGAGTCGTACTGCCTGCAGAAGTTGACATGACGCCCGCTGTCTTCGTGGATCGTCGCGGAAATATCTGTTCAGCCTTCATTGGTTCTCGTGGATACATTGTAACTTTCGCGGTCGGTGACCCTGAAGGTTCATTTGCACTAGCTTGGGTACTCTCGAACGCTGTTGGTCGAATCTTGGCCGTCGAGAGTGGCACGCTTTCCAAAGAGTGAAAAGGAGGGTATGGTGCTCTCTAGGATCAACACGTTTGTCCTGGATGGTTGCTTTACACCTCGGATGTAGCTTGCACTCCTGGCGAGGAAATTTGACATTGGAGGGGAGGACAGCCAGTGGCGTGCGGTCTCGCTGATGCTGTGTCCATACGCGAGGTTTGTCGTGAATATCGGTGATCTCGCGTGGATCCACATTTTCAAGATCGTGCTGGATTCTCAGCAGGGCATGTTGTTCTTGCTTCAAATCCACTGTAACCTCCCAGGGATGCTCGTCAATTAGCCCTAGTAAAGATCGATATGCTCTTTCATTCATGGTTGGCATTGCTGAAAGTCGTGAATGTGAGACTTCGTGGAATCTGGGCAAAAGAAAAGGCTGTCAGAGGCTCCAGCTTCCGTGAGGCTTCTTATAACAGCCCTGATAGCCTGTTGAGGGAGCGACTCAATATGCTTGGGAATCAGAGGCATGATCTGTGGCACTCAGGAATTGCCGCGCGCGTATGCCATGGTCGAGGAGGTGCCGTTCAAAGTATTCGAAACCAGGCGCTTCGGAGTAGGCCAAGGACGCTTCCATTTGGGTATTTACGCTGCTGTATGGCTTAGCGAGTTTGACTTGTCCGGAGTACGATCGGGCCTGGCTAGACATTGCGCAGTCTGAACACCAAGTTGCTTCGGCTTGCATGTGCAAGAAATGGCAGCCAAGTCGCGGTCTTGCATATCAGTCGAAAGGAGTTAGTGCGGACATGTACTGCATAGTACTGTAGAAGGCAGCTTAGCTCTTGATTGATTGATTGATTGATTGATCACGTCTAAGTATGTCCCAGCCACCTTTACCTGTACAGTCGCGGCTATGCAGCGAATGACTAAAAGTACAGGTGCCTCCCCCGTCGAATTTCTGAACGACAAGCCGTTCCTGTCACGAACTGCTTCTACCTCCACTCCAAGTGGTTTCAGCACGCCTGCACTTATAGCCTTAATGATTGTGTCCTGCGTCGGTGTACTTGTCCGGTCTATCCTGGCCGTCCTCTGCTTCTCTCTAATAATAAACACTCGTCTACGCTAAGAGTGTTCGAATACTGTGGACGGCACTGCTCGGAATTGCTCCAGCAATCCCGTCCTGATCATCATCTTTGCTGCATAGCTCTTGATTTAAGTGATTAGTATCCTAAATATCACGGAGATCGTCTCGGATAGCACCTAATCGAACGCCATCGGTTGGCACCAGAAGATACTACATCCTTGACATGCTGCAGAGCCCAGCAAATCACTCGAACCTACACGCCACGATGACCACACATTGGTTCCTTAGAACAAACAGGACCGAGTGAGCATTACAGTAGTGCCATAATTATCCTGTTTTTCCGCACTTTCTCTCTATTGTACTGCAGAACCGATTCTTCTGAGGGTGTAGCCGAAACTGACTATTGAATTTTGGGGTTCCTTCCTGCATTAGCTTGCTGGGTGACATCTGAAAGACGTCGCGAGTGGAAGTCCCGCTGAAAACCAGAAAGTTTGATTGTGTCCTCAATGTAGATTAGTACCAGGCTGAAAAACCACATGAAAGCAAGAGCACTTCGGCAATGGGCTCCCTCAACTCGCTTCTCACTTTATAGAGGACATTATAATTCGTGGATGGACGAGTGGCTACGTAGAGAATGGTGGCAAAAGATTGCGTGAGTGGCAAAATCCTCCAAAGATTGCGATGAAGTGTAAAACATTCCTACTGATGACTTTCTTGGGCTAGATACACGAAAAGTAGTGGAGGGGTGGCCAGAGCGGTCGGGATGGTTGGTAGCAGAAATCCATGAAGAAGCATGTCAGAACATTTTAGGACAGCTTCGCTGCCTGTGACTGCATGACGAAAGCCATAGAAAACAGTGGGACGAGAACGATAAAGAGGTCGTAGCTAAAAGTAGTCGGACCAATGATTTTCGGTGGCAGACTAGGCTGCTTGAACCCGTTTGCTCATCCTCAAATGCCGACTTTCTTGTAACCATCTTCTTAAAACCTGCCTACCCTTTTGCAGCCACAAACCACGCTTCTTTGCGGTTCACGCTTGTCCAAATCTGTCGTAGCTGATCCCATTGCTCTGATGAATTAGCGGTAAATGTGGTGTCTAACGGTACAGTATTGTTGATCCGGAAACATAGATGAGACGAGCGCGATGCGGTCGCTAGAACTGTCACAGTACTGTAAAGTATAGCCCACACACCCACACACACACACACACACACACACACACACACACACACACACACACAAAAGTACAGAACCCCTGGTGGCAGAGCCAAAAGGGCAAGCTAAAGCTGATCTACTAATACATTTATGTGACCTAGTCTTCTTGAATACAACCTCTCTCACTTGCTTTCGCTTGCTACGTATTTGTGGATTCTCGTGCTGGTAACTTTTGGATGGCCGTCCGGCTTACAGGCGATTCTTCAAATCTTCTACATTCTATCCGTGGCAGCTAAAGCGCGCCTACTTGTATTACCACTAGTTGAGATAGAGGGGTTCGAATGAGAGGGTAATGACGGTTTCGGTAGGCAGTGTTATTTAGTTGTCCTATGGCCGGGCCATTGCAAATCAGATTGTTACTTAGGATGCCTTTAAGTCTGGACTTCACGTCTAAGTAGAAAGATGTGTTGCTCCTGTGAATTTCTGTGCAATGAAGCATCTCTGTTCGGAACGCCGTTCATTTAGCACATCGGTTGAGAAAGTGTTCAACGGCCGCTCTCGCTTGCCCACATGCAAATAGATCTGTCGAAGCGGCATTAATGCGGCGAGGATAGGTATTCAGTCTGTCTCTATCCCTGAAAGGCGACCGTAGAGTCGCCTCGAGTGCTTGCCAGGCCAAGCTGTGTCAGCTCTCTTCGAATACATTCCGTCTTTGTCTGGTAGGATGCCGGTGGTGGCCTGGTTTGGCTCGTGCAGCATTAAGCATGGTGGATCTCATTCTGGGTCGTTGTGTCGGTGGCCGGGCCGTCTTCGACTCGGTGGCTTTCTGTGCTTTCTTCTCAGCGACCTTCTGCCACTTGCTGACGCCATGCGGCGGCGTCCACAAGACTGTTACCGCGTTGCCTTCCTTCTGTAGATGTCTCATGGAGTTGCACATGCGAACGATGTATCCTTGTCCCGACTTGTAGCGTGCTCGTCTTGGTCAGCGCACTACCATACCGGTTCTAGTGGCAGCTTGTACCACGTTGAGACGACTGAAGGGCGCTGCTCCTGTTCCATGCTTTTTGGATGCCTCTTATGATCAGATTTCATCATAACCTGCCCTGAGCACTTAAAAGGCCAATTGTAATCATTGGGCTTATCAGCAATTGCACCAATCTTTCGTGTTGCGGCACGATAAACATGGATCTATATTCACTTGTCCAACCCTAGAATCGGATCTGCCCACCTTCAATACTGCCTCAGTTAGCTCCACTAACCCCTTGAAGTCGGCACACGTCGAGCGTGTGGCTGGTCTGAAAGCCTTGCAAGAGAGCGATAGTGTGGGTGCACATGGCACATAAAATAGCAACATGAAAGATCTGGTGCGAGTTCCCCCAAATGTCAAATGTACCCGGTGCCAAACGCTCCGGGATTCGGAACTCCAAACGATGTTCGTCAGTAGGAAGACCAGAAGAAGTGGAGCCGCGAGCACGCAGACATACCGCGTATAGTCCAACCCCGGCGCCATAGAACGCAAGCTCGATCAGATACCATTTCAATCCGGCATACCCGAGCATGTATTTGAGCCCGTATCGCAGCAAACCATGGAGCAGGGGGATGCAGGATGAAGCGCCAAAAACAACGAAGGTGCCCACTTTCACTTTTCGCCAACGCGGCGTTCTGAGCAAAGGATTCGAAGTTAGAGTACCGACAATAGTACCAATGGTGAAAATCTAGAACTCAAATTAGCATCCCTGGATTGATGATACAGCACATACCGAGGGCGTGGAGAAGTGTTGTTAGTGGTGACGATAGCTGGGTGAGACTGACAATGGCCCAGTGCAGCTTTTGTAAGCTCGCTTCACAGAAAATCACATAGTAAATTCCAGAAAAGAATGTGCCCACCGTCACGATGACAATACCAAGCAAATCCATTCCCTGCCAGAAGCGTTCAATATGATGTGAGTGGGATAGCATCAAGTGATAAAGTGTGCTTAAAATCAAACAGATCTCAGCACTCCAGAAGTAGATGCCAAAGACAGCGTAGTCCATGGTCGAGACATTGAGAAATTGAGGACGGCCGAGGTAACGCAGGAAGATGGCAGCGATGGGTGGAAGAAGGATGGCCCCGATCAGGTGAGTGTATATATTGCATGTCTCATTATGCAAGAAAGTGAGGCTTGCGAGGATCTTTAGATAGTCTGCTTTCTCTCGTCGATAGCCACCGACGATATACTTGTTGTCGAAATGCCATTCAGAAATCTCCTGCCATGTCACAGTTTTCGCGGTGGCCTTTGACGTCTTTGTGGGCTCATTAGCCGTGCCGACGTGGCCCGAGACTTGTCGCTTGCTGAGTTTTGTCCTTGGTGCCATCGATGCCATCGATACTGAGATATATGGGTGTAGGTTCGGATGTGGCTGGAATTCGGCGTCTTAAATAAGGCACGGATCAGCTGGCGCAGTGCGTAGAACCTTGCCCTAAGAAAGAAGGTTGTCGATAGATGAAGAAAGTCCTTTTCCTGTACGATAGCACCTCCTTACAGATTCAGAAAAGTACAGTACAGTATCCCATCGAAACTCGCACATACAGTACAGTACTGTAGAGTACTGTAGCTTAATACCAAACCTAAAAATCTCCTGCTGGATGTGAGTGAGCGGGGCAATAAACTATACCGTTGTCTCTTAGTGTCGCGTTCCGCATCCAGCCACTGAAAACCATGGAGTCTGCAGACACTCTTAGTCGTGACCGCTTTGATAACCTTTACCACAGTTTTCTGTGGCTTTTCGGCATTTAATCACGAGCAGCGGATGCTGGCGAAGTGTTTCATGTTCTGTCACGCTTCTTCGTGGATTTTTACCCGACGTTCGTCGCGACCGCTTTAATGATCACTCGGTACCCACTGTTTTTATGCACTACTTTACTCTTTCGCCTCACTACTAGGATACTGTGGCGTCTTACTCCGGCTATCGCGACTGGCCTAGCGGCCTCTTCTTGCCTCTCTTTCGCGTGTCGTTTAACAGTACTTATATCACGACATTTAAACACATTAATTTTGACTAGCGCAGCGGCCCTAACCACGAAAGTTTGGGCACTACTATCCAACATACAGTACAATGCTGCCAGATTTACAATGTTTAAAGGACCGAACTTGCCGAAAGGCCGAAACCACAAAACCTTTAAGTCTTGTGAGTTTCGTGAACCATTAAAGACGGCCTAATGGTTTCTGCTACAGTATAGTACTCCGTACGGTAGATGTAACTGCGCTGCCAATATTTTGTGGCTGAAGTTGGTGCGTTCCAGATAAGGCACGGATCGACCGTGCGAGTACGTAGTGTCCCGAAAACCTTGCCTTACGAACCAAGGTTGTCAACAAAAATCTAGAAATCCACGAATCCTGAGACCCTGACACCTCATGCAAATTTAACCATAGGAGCACTGGAACCAGTGGTTGAGCTCATTTGAATCATACACTCAGAAATGTCCAAGGACAGAACTGTATGACCTCGGTAAACTGTGGTCCATCGCTTTGCGGCCTCCCCAACATCGAGACCCACGTCTCTTCAGGCGCTACCTATTGTAACCTCAGCTCCATCCCCAATCTCTACCGATGCGCTTTTTCTCCCTTCTGAATTTCATATCTTTGCGACATTGACCTGGATTAAGGCGCTACCACATCAGGACGTTGCCGGGAATGCCCATGCCATACTCAGACGGATTTGGATCGAACTGGACATCAGTTGACCAGGGCATGGTGCCACTATCAGCACTCCCGGGGTTCGGAAGTGGCTCCTGAGAGGCATTGGCGTGGTCATGACCCGAATTTGTCGACATGGCCCAAAATGCTCGAACATCGTGCCGAGTGGACTGCCAATAATCCGATGGGCCGGTGCTTTGGAACATGCTACTTTCGCTTTCTGGGTGGCCATCAGCTGAGTTTCCATGGGGTGTCCAGTTTGTTGCCAGGTGCCACGGTTGCGGTATGAAGCCTTGAATCGTCGATGGGGTTGTCAACTGGCCTCCGAGAACATCAACGGGCCGGTAGTAAGACACCAAATGCCAAATTGAGTCGGAGTCACCAGAGTCTTTGACACTGATGGTCTTTTTGACTAGGCTTTCAGGTCTGAAGTGAAAAGATCTCGCTAAAGGCCCGTAAAGTCGATGTCGCAAATTTTGGCTGCCGTCTCCTACTGGCACTGGTTGAACCGCAGTCTCCGCGGTGTGTGCTTGATTTGGTGATTGTGGCCGTTCTCCGTAGATGAGGAATTCACCCGAGACACGACTCGGGGTCCAGCGCCGCCCATCGGTCCAACGCCGAATGCCCGATGCTTTCTCTTCGTAAATGAAGACTTGTCCGCTTAGTTCGACTGTAGGGCGCGCTGAAAAGATAATTCGTCTCGCAATGCAGCGCAGACTGCCTCGACGGCAAGCCTGGATCAGCATCGTGGCGTCGTCGCGGGTCTCGACGAACCCAAAATATGAAGCCTGGAGATCATGGTCAGGTTGCATCGTTGGAATTTCGCGAAGACCTTGTGAGACTTAAGGATACTGAGATTGCGGCATTGCTGCAGCATTTATGAACGACATACCTTGTCAAATGGACCAGACGAAGCTCAATTGATTCAGATCTCCTTGCATTCGTGACGGGTCTCGGGTGGCTGCATGTTTGGAAGCTCCTTGCTGGGGCCGCCAAAATCGGGATTATCGTCGATGAAGTGTCACCTTATGGAATAAAATATGATAGATCAATCTCTCCTGTCTCCAAGACCGAACACCGCCGAAGTCAAGTAAATAACAAACAAAGAGCGTTTGCACAACTGAATGCGCATATGAGAGGTTCATCATCCATGTTGGCCAATGTGACAGGTCATGCCAAGCTGTATGCATATTGCTGGCGGCTGGCTGTAAAAAGGGCTTGACGGCTCCTTGCATGGTTGATAGATCATAAAAACCAAAATCGGATGACTCCTATTCCCAGGGCACCTCCAGTGGATCAACAATCGCCGGCGGCAGTCTTTAATATAATTCAATCATCATTATACCGAGTCTCTTTTGCTCATGAGGCGAAATCGTCGTTGGATGTTGGATTCGCTATGCTTTGGCTGATGTAAAGCCTCCGGCTAGAAGGCTCTGCCACCCCAACGTGGCAGGATTATCCCTCCTCAGCTTGCTCTTGTGCAGTGTCCACACCTCCTTTCGTATTCGAGTCGCCTTCTGAAATAATGCAGAGCTGCTGAGTTCTGAGTAGGATATCATCCAAATTTGTGTGCTCATGGCGCAAAATACGAAGAAAAGCCGCAGGTGTCATACGCAGGATGTAATACAATCCGGCTGGACTTGGCGACAAGGAAAGATCTGTCACTTTTTCTTCCACATTCGCTGACACTCTGTCAGGATCGGGTCCATCGCCGTGCGGCGGGAATGCGGTTATCAGGCGGGCCTCCTGTCGAAAATTTTCGGCCTTGCGAAAAAGAAGGTGTGTGCCAGCTCCTTCGTCCGCAAGACATAACAAGTAGTGCGCCTCTTCCAACGCACCGGGGTCAACACTCAAGTGGCAGCAATGGCACTCAATGGGAGCATTTCTTTGATAGCCTTGTTTGACTGTTGTAGTGATTTTGAAGGGTGAAAGCAGTGCCCGACATTCGATGTCCTCAATGTTGCAAAAAGAAGGAGAACTGTCCATTAATAACTCGAGATCGATGCTCAAAGCACTGCAAATTGTGCTCGCGACAGAAAACAGCTCTGTTTCTTCGGGGAGGTAAGCACCATGTTTGCGGCAAAATTCGATGGTGGTAAACAATGATTGTAGCTTGCTCGATTTATAATCAACTGGGTAGCGGTGACCATTGATTGCGATCGAGAGCAACCCATGAACGTGATCGTGAAAATCGCGGCATTTCTGAGAACCATAATCAGAGAGCAAAGCCACCAGCGACGCACGTCGCTGACCGGTACGTAACTCCTGGACTCGAAATGGGATGCTCAAGCTGAGTTCATCCTGTTGATCTTGACTCAATTTATTGCATTGTTTCAGCTTCTGCAAACCTAATTGCAACGTGGCCCATTTTATCCTTTGGATTCCATTGGTGAGAAGGAGCTTGCGTGCTGAGACGACTTCTTGAATGATCCATAAACGTTCCCAGTAGCTGCACCGGCAAATTTCAATGATCCCTTGGACGATATCCCGTTTCCATGAATGACTTTCGCGCCCACAACCGCCGCATTTACATTTAACGAAACAGTCAGAGATTGGCGCTTTCCGTTCCATTCCTTCCAGGAACGACCAAGCTCTGTGCAGAGGTCGCTGAGGTTCAGGTTGTTGAGGTGCGAATCCACATTTCGCTGGAATAAAAGCCAGGACCCGGTTGGCGCTTGAAAAGATGACGCCCATGATACTGACTTGAGCCTTCCGCTCATTGTAGTTAGCATGATTGATACACAATGCATCAATCCAGAGCCATCTTCCCGCGTATGGAATTCGCGCATATTCAAGCAATCGAAGAAGGTTAGCACCCACCGCATGTGGTGAGTGGTTAAGCTTTATTTCTTCACACTTTTTGTTTCCCCATTCGTAGGAGACCGCCATATAGTTGAACTCAAGGCTTGAACAACGCGATACGCATTGTATAGCATCATTCTGGTCAAGCTTTGCTAAAACTTTGACCACACGTATGGAGTTGAGCGGGTTTTGCAAAATTGGGAAAGGCTCCCTCTTTTTCTTTTCCGATGTGCTACAATCCTTCGCTATTCTGGACATTCTCTTTCCAGTACCGTGGCTAGGGAACGCATGCAAGCGCGGCGGAGACAAATCAGGAAGGTCGAAGAGCCTCTGGTAAAGGAGCAGTGGTAATCAGGATCGGGCTCGAGAGGGAGGCAGGATTCCGTGAATCTGACACAGCTGATAGCGTATTGTAAGACTTTTGGAGATGCTCACAATTTGGGACTACTCACGGCTTGTTGGCCCTCCTACCAAGACCCTGGCAGTACGCTTTCATCCTTATATAAACCCAGTATGTGGGCGATTAGGAGGGTTCGATCAACCCGCTTATCACGGGCTGGCTCTAAGGCTCGGATCGTGCGGATCGTGCAGATGCGTGCAGTTCGTCGTGTTAGTTATGGGCACGTGCCCACAGCTGCTGACCATAGCTGCTGGTGTCACAGGTTTCCCGATGTTCTACCGGCAGGAAAGTTGGGCACATCCGCTCAGTCAGCGACCAACACGATAACGATCACAACCAACAACGCGCAAAACGCCAGAGGCAGATTACTGTATTATTAGACCAGGTGCATTTCTGCGAGTATAATGTGCTCATATCGTATCTGGATTATCTGGACAATTTCTGAGTATGTGGATTAGGAAGGATTACCACCCGTTCCAGTGGCATAAATGGTGTATCTGTATTGAATATCATGGTCGGAGTTTTGCGATCGATAAACCTGCGTGGTGAATTGCAGCAGCGTATGATCTGCAGCTTTGACAGCGATCGCTAAGCTAGGAGCAGGCGGGCGTCACGAGCACAAATCTTTCGATTGACGAAGCAGGCTACTATATTGCGGTATGCCAGCTCTGCACGACCCTCGTCGCAATTTGCGGGCATCGTTCAGCAGAATATGGTCCAACTCGTCGCGAGAGCGGCGAGGGATGTGCGGCGTGTGGCGAAGGGAAGGAGGAGGGCTTCGCCTTTGCGGTAATACCCGCAGGCCGCTAGTTGCATCCAACACAGCCACAAGACTCAAAATATCACGTGATGATGACACGACAATGTTGCCTTATCCCGCGGTCATCACCGCGTCGAATTAACCTTGCTTCGTCCAACCCTGAAAAGGGTATCAACAATCTCTCCAGAAGAGCTACGCCACCTAGATCCGTAGTCATTTGTGATGAGTCGTCCAACATACGATGAAGAAGAAGTGACCCCTCCTTCGAGCTTCCATAATCCCCCCTCTCCTCCACTCACAGATGAGAAGGTGGCGGGTGACAGGCTCTCCATCTGGCAGAACATCGCAAATCACAGGTCCGGCGGCGCACCCCAGACATTTCGCAAGGTCGGCAGGAGGGAGTGGAATGTTGTGCAAGAGTCGCTGCAACGAACAGACAAGATACAGTATGTCGGAATTCCTTTAGTCCTCACTGAAAACGCAATAACCTCGAAAATAGTTTCGATTATTTTCCCTCGAGCGAGCACCTTTTCCTGCGCATGCCCACCAAAGTTCACGAGCTATTCTTGCGGAGCCTGAGCGGGCGTATCAGCGAACAGCTGCGTCTCTTATCTAGCGGGTCGGACCCCATCGCAGATTTCGCAAAGGATGTTCGAGACGTTGGGTCTGCCACAATAAGGGCTCGAGATCCTGACTACGGGAGCCACGATCCAGACAGTTCTTTCCAGCATCTCAGATCGCCATTACCTACCGTGATCATCGAGGTAGCACATTCACAGAATGGGAGAGCCCTGGGGCACCTTGCGGAGGAATACATTTTAGGGAGCGACTTGGTTATTCGGGTTGTGGTGGGAGTGGACATCGAGTACTGCAAGAGCAAACGGGCCGTCTTCTCCGTGTGGCGCGCAGAGGAGCAGAGCTTCGGAACTGAAAAATATTGGGTCGTCCAATCCGTGGTCACAAATCAAGTAGGTCTGGTTGAATATACCGATTGGCAAAAGTCTGATGTACAGCAGGTGTTCCGCAATGACGATGGCAAACCACACCCAGACAAAAGCTCCGATTTACGACTGCACCTGGAGGATTTTGCAGATGCAGAGACGTGCCGATATTTCAAGGACTTGGACAAAGACATTTCCGTGTCGTGTGACGAGATGTATCAGTACCTGGAAGAAGCTGAAGCTATTGTGAAGCGTACGGAATCTAAAATGCAGGAACCAAGCTTGCGCTTAAAGAAGCGCCGGCGAACACAGACTCCCGAAGAGCAACTTGACGATGACGACGAATATGCCTACGCCAAGGCTGAAGAACACGTCTCCAAGCGACGGGATCTGGAGGATGATTCTTTTAAAGGAAGCTCTTCAGAATAAACACCAGTAGCCTGGCATTGAGGATGGGTGATAAGGCAATCAACAGCCCAGTCTACCTCCGCCGTACCGCGTCGCGTGTCCCCTCCTTCTTGCTCCTCTTATACACTGAAATGATGTATTTCTGCGCGAACCCTTCAACATTGCGTTCGTAAATCGTTCGCATAGCCATTGGTGGTCTTGTTGAATCCTCGTGCAGATGAGACTGCAATCTATAATATCAGCTGAAAATCTCTCGCAGTGCTTTGTGACGTTGTAGAAGAATGCCATTAACCCACGCTTGTGAGTATCGACGATAGCAACGAAGTCTTTCAGTGGCGATCCAGTATCGATGGACTTCCACGGGCTTTTCGGCCCATTTTGGTGGCCGCCTATTGAATGGGCCTAGATTGTCATCGATAGGTCAGTCCTGCTAGAGAAATCCAAACCAAACGACATCCTCGAAAGTCGCCACTCACTTGTAGATTCTAGCTTGGAGTGCTTGCGATTCTTGAAACTCAGGAGAATTAAAGCGATCTCGGATGAATTGTATTTTTCAAAGCATCTGCATGCCACTTGAAGTGCAAGTTCAATCTCTTGGTCAGTCGTGAGTTGTTCCAAAGACCAGTTCCTTCGCAGTTCCAGTACTCGGTTTGTCCATTTTTCAGCACCTTTAGGATCCTCGAACTCGGGGAATAATTGGCGAAGTCCAGAGTTCAGCAGGTGTTCAAGGGTGACTGCACATGATCGTCCGGCATGGTTAACTTGTCCCTGAGAAAGGTATTCGCCATTGTAGAAGTCGTCATTCTCAAGTCGGAAGCGGAAAAAATCTCTTGTGTCCTTGCCGGCGCCCTGGGCAGCTGCACGATACGCCTCAAGTAAACATACATCTTGGACGAACTGGCCTTTCGGAAAGTTACTGGTGTCGACTGCATAGATCTGGACGTCAGAGAGTGAAATTCTGCCGATGTTTGCCCTCCAAATACCATATTGTATAGCGAAGAGAAGCGAGCTTGTCCAGGACATCAAATTATCAGATCCACTGCCTCCAAAGCAACTTTTGTTCAGGTGCTGATGCAGCAGTTTAGTGGCACGATCTTCGTCCATTGAGAGAAGATCGTGCCAGCCTATGCTTGGCATGAGAACGCTGGCTACCGAGGCCACAACGCTACTGTCATTCTTCCCCGAGCTGGCCCCGTCGAAGGTTCGGAACAAGTAACGTGGGACGCCCTCTAGAAACGATAATTGTATACGTAAACGGGCTGGTGGACTGAACAAAGTTGGTCCATCGGGAACCTTATTCAATACTGCGATCCAAAATTTGGGCCAAGCCTCACGGTCTTGCTGACGGGCATCGGATCTGCGTTGTGTCTGGTCTTTGAAAGCTGCAGCGTAATCTTCGTCCACGTCGAGCCGGTTTTCATGCTCATAGTACTCTTCGCTCTCGAAATCCGGATCGTATGGCGATTGTAGATATGCTTCTTCGAGTGAAGCGAAGTAGTTCTCAGCATCGAGTTTTCCAAAAGGTTTCGTGGCTTGGGCATAGCACTCCTCAGCCACCCTCCACAATGTCGTGGTATCGGCATTGTCATTTAAGACATCGCGAATAATGTCTTTGATCTCCTTCTCGAAATATGGTAATATCTTATTACGAACGATCCCGCTCCAGCTTCCATACGAACTGAGTCTGCAAAAAATAGAATGATGCGTAGCCTTATGAAGCGCATCAAGTGCGGCTTGAATGTTGGAAGAGGACTTTTCGAGCTTCTTGATTTCACCATGGAGAGAGCATGCTTCTGAAACAGACAGGGGCTCGGCTGAGTTGGCATAGTTAGCTAGTGGTTCGACAGACTGGACTTGTGAGGCGACGCTATTTGTCGCTTGGTAAAGTGTGCGAATGCTGGTCTGAAGAGGATTTAGTCGATCGCTGGTTGAGCGTTTTTGCTCTTGTCCTTGTCAATGACTCTGAGAGAGGTTCTCGGCGATATTCAGATTGCGAAGCAATCCCTCGGTGTGCTCAATACTCCTATCTGAAGACATCTTCTGGGAGCGTCCCAAGTTCGGAAAGGATTGAGTGAATAACAAGTTCAAATTGATATCCAGGCTACAGTACTGTCTTATGGACAAAGCTATAGCTTTTCTTATTTCGATTAGATTGTTTCAAGAAGGACAACCAGCTGGCATCGACCAGCATCTGGTGGCGTGGCCCATTCGCAACCCCGCACTTAAACCCTGGCAAGATCTGGCTCGAGTTTATTAGGTTCAAATGACAGAGATTATATCTGTACGGTAGTAGGCTCTCTCAAGGACACGCACCGGCACAGCAATGATTGGGTGCGTTCGAAGCAGCGGACTTGATGTAAGAGGTATGGCACTTTTTAGCGAGTCCATGTGACTGACTGACTACAGCATTACTTTGGTTTGGTCTGACCAGACACCAAATTCGTAGTGGACTGTAATTTGGACACCTCTACTCAGTCAGCGACCAAACACAATGACTAGTCAACCAAGAAACACGCCAGATACATGTTATAGTACTGTACTGTAAGATGACGGCGGCATTCTTTGAATGTTGGGTTATCGATCGCAAATCTCGGACCATGATATTTAACGCAGACATACCATCTCGCCACTGGAACCGGTGGTCGGCTTCTTCTTTCCCATACACTCAGAAATTTCCTACGATGTGACCACGGGACATTGTGGTTCAAGGCAGAAATGCACGAGGTCAATAATATAGGCGTTCGACACGTACATGTGACATGACCGCCTCATTGACTATCATATTAGTCATGGGCTTCAACGATCGTGAAGACGCCGTAGATGCCGTATTGTATGGTAGTAATCCGCCGAGTGTATGATACTGTATAGAATCTGTCATGAAAACAGAGATGATCTCGAATAGATTACGTGGTGTAATTTGTTGTACACGCTTCAAGATCATTAGCTGATGTAGATGCGGAGCCGGAACATACACAGCAAATAATGACCTTTTGGGATGGTCCACTTGCAGGTGATAATTATAATTACACATCTCACAGTCAGAAACCGGTTTTTCATGCCACTGTGCTGTAGCTTGATACCAAGCCTGAAAATCTCCTGCTGGATGTGAGTGAGCGGGGCAATGAACTATACCGTTGTCTCTTGGTATCGCGTTCCGCATCCAGCCACTGAAAACCATGGAGTCTGCAGACACTCTTGGTCGTGACCGCTTTGATGACCTTTACCACAGTTTTCTGTGGCTTTTCGGCATCCAATCACGAGCAGCGGATGCTGGCGAAGTGTTTCATGTTCTGCCACGCTTCTTTGTGGATTTTTGCCCGACGTTCGTCGCGACCGCTTTGATGACCACCCGGTACCCACCGTTTTCGTGCACTACTTTATTCTTTCGCCGCACTGCTCCGTGTGTCACCTTGTCCGATCACGAATCAAAGCGCATGTCCCCAGGATACTGTAGCGTCTTGCTCCGGCTGTCGCGACCGGCCCAGCGGCCTCTTCCCGCCCCCTCTTCCGCGTGTCGTCCAACAGTACTTGTACTATATCACGACATTTTAACACAGTGACTTCGACTAGCGCAGCGGCCCCGACCACGAAAGTTTGGGCACTACTATCCAACATACTGTATAGTATTTCCCGAAACCGCCCTCCCCTTTGCTGAGACATTGCAACTTTCTTCCGTAGAGGCTAAGGAATAAGTGGAACATCTCTAGCCAAACATGTAATAGTTTGCTCTAAATATTTTTACCAATGAATAATGGCGCTTTCGAGCCTCGGTTTTACGTGGTTAGTAAGGCAGTTGTAAAGACTTCTTACGATAATGCGCACCCCAGGAAATTGACAGTACTGTATATAGAGGGTAGCGCAGACTCTAGTATAGATACAGTAGCCTGGTGTTTGGTCGTGTCTTGTCGGCAGTCGTTCTTTGGTACTCTTGCAAGGGTAGATAATCGGAGTTGGCCTAAGGGGGCGGCGCCCCACACTCGTTCTCATGTTCTGTATGGAGCCAATCTGTCTTTCAGACGACATTTATGATGGCCACGATTTGATGGCAGAAATGGGTTTCAACCCACTCAGACCGTTTCTTGGACGGGTTGATCGGATTTTGATAAAAGAAGAGGCTATGTCACCTAGGCGTAAGTAGCTGTTTTTCCTGTTCCAAGGACAAGCTTCAATTTTTTCAATTCAAGATGCCTGGTCGCCAGTCTGCAATTGTGACCGGAGGGTCCTCAGGTATTGGAAAAGCCACAGCTCACAAGTTAGCCAGCCGTGGCATTAATGTCCTTGTGGCTGATATTAATATCACCGAGGGAGAACAAGTGTCAAAGGATCTAAAAGCGAAATATGGTGTCGACTCTGCATTCGTCAAGCTTGACACTGCCGTCAAGGCAGATTGCATCAACATGGTTGACACAGTGGTGAAACTTTGGGGACGGCTTGACTGGGCCTGTAACTGTGCTGGCAAAGCTGAGATTTTCACTGATGGTGAGGAAGATGTGACAGAAAAGGTGTTTGACGAGTGAGTGAAATTCACTGGCCACGGATCAGACAGAACTGCTGAATAGAGACTAATAACCCTGAAACATAGGATGTACCAAGTCAACCAAAGAGGAACTTGGTTCTGTCAAAGATACGAAGCGGTTCAGATGCGAAAGCAAGAACCTCGAGTCATTACTTTAACACCATCAGACAGGAAGGTCGAGACTCGAGGCTCCATCGTCAATATTTCTTCCGTGAATGGAATTGTGGGCTTGGGACAGCCTGGCTACTCATCTGCAAAGGCCGGGATTATTGCATTCACACGCACCGGGTCTCAGTTCTATGGTAAAGACCTTATCCGTTTTAACTCGGTCCTTCCTGGGTCTATCCGCACCGATACAATGGTTAAATGGCTTGAGGAACTCTCACCCGAGAAGAAGAAGTTTGTCTTGGAGACACTTGTTAACTCGACTCCTCTGGGGAGGCAAGGTTCACCGGAAGAGATCGCCAACGCGGTCTCTTACTTCCTAAGTGACGATAGTACATATGTCAATGGAACTACTTTGATAGTGGATGGAGGTCTAATGGCTATCAGATAGTTAACGCGTAGATTTGTCAAAAATGGCCGTCTACTTGGAAATTACAGATACAGGCCTTTTCAGTTGCGGCTTCACCCCTACACACACTCTAAATATTTGGGTACCACAATTTTGACCCACCCTGACCGTAACTAGGCCGCAGAGGGCCAAGCGTTGCATCCGTCCATGGCCAATTAGTAGGAACCACATTCTGGTCTACACGAGATCTTACAATACATGACAACGGGCCATTACCTCCCAAAGTAGTAGTAGAGCGACAGCACCCTAAAAGCAGCAATCTATCCCAATTTACCCAGTCTGTAGCAAAGATGGCGGTGTTTTAAGCGGGACCGCCAATCCCGGCGCCGCTCGATGTTTACCATCCAAAGGTTCAGGAGAATCTAGGCTCCGCCTGGACGCCAACCAGATTCGACAGTCAGCCTCACTGCGCATTCTGTAACATTCTTCTTCTCCTCCCATCGCGAGATCAACGGTCATTGCTCCAGTCTGAGCTCTTTCCGTGCTTGAAACCTAGACTTAGCATCTCTACTGTATGCTAAACGAGCTACCTAACAAACGTATGCCCGAGGACATGCCCAGATTGGTTCTTTGCCTTACGATGCCTCTCTTGGAGCGTAAACCCGATGACGATGACTTAAGTAATAGCCGAGAACGCCGACGCCCATTCCGTCAATTAGCGAATAATCGTCGTCGAGTGACAAAGCGATCTTACCTCTTGAAATTATTAGAACACAAAAAGAAATCCCAACCTTTTCTCAACCGCAGCGATCCAAAGATCACTGCCCTTCGCTCTTGCGGCGCCCTCCAATGCCTCATGAAACTGCCAGTCTGTATCAATCATCTCAACCACCTTCGTAACATCAGCAAACTGAGGTTCCGACCTCGCACCTTCACGTTTTCTCGCCCCAACATGGCGGTGAACGCTGAACACCACCATGCAACCATCCGTGCCGAAGCGCAGAGTCAGCGAATACCTCCAATATCCTCAAAATCCGAACAACCATTAACGAATGGTGATCTGAATAATACAGCGTCTATGCGCATTACATTAAAACCTGAACGTCGACCTGATTTTGCCTACCGATCGCTTTCGATTTCGGCATCGATGGATGAGCCTACGATCCGCTCGAAATATCGACCTTTCCTACTCCCACACACTGTCCAGCAGCAAGATTGGGTCAGGAGACTGGAGCTTGCCACTGTGACTGAATTGGTGTACAACGACTTGAGAATAACAGGAGAGAGGATCAAAGTTTTAATATTATACGGGAGTCTTCGTCAGAGGTAAGATAACCTGTGAGGTCCATGTGCCGGAGAGATGCTTACTCCGCTCAGGTCCTACTCAAAACTTCTCGCCTTCGAAGTTGCTCGTATACTTTGGCGGCTCGGCTGTGACGTGCGTATCTACAACCCGCAAGGTTTACCTGTCAAAGATGATGATCAGCACAACCATCCAAAGGTGCAAGAACTTCGAGACCTTAGTCGCTGGAGCGATGGACACTTCTGGGTATCACCGGAGCAACATGGTAATCTTACCGCCGTCTTTAAGAACCAAATTGACTGGATCCCATTAAGCACTGGATCGGTGCGACCAACACAGGGACGCACCTTAGGATTGGCAATGGTCTCCGGAGGATCCCAATCTTTCAATACGATCAACAGTCTGCGTGTCCTAGGGAGATGGATGCGAATGTTCACCATCCCTAATCAGTCATCAGTTCCGCAAGCCTACACGTTATTTACAGATTCGGATGCGGACGAAGGCGGGTCGAGGTTAATGCCAGGAAGCAATCGAGATCGACTGGTTGATTGCGCAGAGGAATTTGTGAAGTATACCGTCATCATGCGGCCGCACTTCGCCTTGTTCAGTGACAGATTTAGTGAACGAGAGCCGCTGACCATGAACTAGAATAGAGCAGGGTTCCTCTGCTGCGAAGAACTGCTAGCATCTAAGGGATTCTAGTATAGATGCCTCCATAGAAAGTAATTAGTGCTGAAGCCTGCGGATGTAGCCACATGCGTTCAGGCCTGGCCATGAAATTATCTACCAGTCACAATTCCGTTCATAGGAGTCTAATAATCTAGGTAGAAAATTATAACAATGGTTTGTTGAGAGCTTAGAGTCAGGGTTGGCTGGCAGTTCCCCGGCTTGGTAGATTTGTAAATGCCCATCTATGAGACAGAATCATTCTAAACCCTTGTGCTGATCAGAGAAGATGAGGGAGTGGACTCGAATAATTGACAATTTCCATATCAGATTCGACTGCTTAGTTACCCAAGAGCATTTCCCAAGATAACTGTTCAATTCGAAGCTTCCATAACATCTGCGCTCTAAGTCTGCATTCGCATACTCCATTAACTAGTCTTCCCAGTTCCAACGACCGGCTATCCATCTCACAACATAGACAAGGGAGATCAAAACCGGGACCTCAATTAGGGGGCCAACGGTAGTGGCCAGTGCCTCGTCACTACTAGCTCCAAAAGTGGCCACCGCAACCGCAATAGCCAGCTCGAAGTTGTTACTAGCCGCAGTGAAGCTCTGCGTAGCAGCAAGTTTGTATCCAAACCCGATGCGTCTTGTGATCAACAGCGTCAAGAAAAAGATAACCACAAAGTACACGGTAAGAGGGGCAGCTACTCGGACAACAGAGACAATTTGATGAACGACTCGTTCTCCCTGGGAGGCGAACAGAACGAGAATTGTATAAAGAAGTCCCAAAAGTGACCACGGAGCGATCCATTTGAGGAATTTCTGGTCGTACCAGGTAGCGTTGATGTTCCGGAGGATGAAGCGGGTCGTGATGGCAGCGGCCAGAGGTATTCCAAGAAAGACCCCGACGCTCCGGGCGACTGTCGTGTACGTAACCTTCGAGCCTTCACCGTGGCTTATAACGTTAACAAATAGAATAGCCAGGGGTGCGTAGAGGACCATCTGGAGGATTGAATTGAAAGCCACAAGAATTGCGCAGTACTCCTCATCACCCCCAGCAAGACCTGTCCAGATCAGGACCTTCGACGTTGTGTTGTCAGTGGGATACTTTCTACATAGGTAGATTGGTGCGCTCACCATGGCAATGCAGCGTGCCAACCCCACGAATATGAGACCATTCCGGAGTTCAGGTCGATCCGGCAAGAAGGCCCAAGCCAATCCGAGCTGTGTCTTCAGCATAGAGTTGAACGATTCGTAGAGCGCAACATACCATGAGAAGGGGAGCTATAATCCAGTTGGCCACAACGCTGAAACCTAGCTGGATCCAAATCTGGCGATGGGCAAAGATGCGATGCAAGGTCTCGTATCTGACTTTGCAGAGGATTGGGTACATCATCACCAACAGACCAACAGCTAGACCGGGGAGAGTTGCTCAGTCAGTTATGGACGAATTGAGAGTATCGCTTGACCGGTCTTACCTATGGGAACGGAGACGTGAACAAATTTGCCTTTCTGGAGAGCTGGCCCAGCTCCGCCGACAAAATTGCCCAGGAGGATGCCGACGATGATTGCTAGCAAGATCCAGAGGACGAGCAGTCGGTCCAACCACCCAAGGCCCGCATATGCTGATTTCTTTTGTTCCACACGTTCTTGACTTTGCTGTCTCTCCGCGTCGACGTTGGTAGGTAGACTAGGCGTATGACGAGTGGTCTTTTCACTGTCCGTGGTGCCTGGGTCCTCATGAGAGTGCGACATTTTAATAGAGTGAGAGAATTGATGAAGAGTGTCGCAGTAACCGTCTGAAAAGTAAGGATTCTAGCTGATAGAGTAACTTTCAAAGGACTGGGCTCTGGTGGATGTCCCAGTGAGAGAAGTTTTTGTTTCTCGCACAAGTCTTTTGTACGCCACCTTCCCCCTTCTCGCTGTCCAAGAAGGCGCTGCATGGATTGGAAAATATTGTTCAGCGACTGAAAGAGCGCCGGTGACAACCTCGCTAAGAAAAGCTCAAACGAATGAAAGGAGACGAGTGACTAAGCCAAGATATCTGGGACATTCTCCGACGGTGGCGGTGTTTTCCTATATGCATATAAGTTATTCTGAAGAATATTTATCGAAATTCCGACTGATTTTCTCGCACAGCTCTATCTGATTCAGGACTGTCCTTATTAGAAGATACCCCTCATCTCTCCCGTGTGATTTTTATACCCGATACATTAAGGATCTTTTTGATTCCGCAGCCAGAAATAACGCCAAGCGATGGCCCAGTTGCCCGCCTGGCACGAGGCGTATCCACCACCGCGAAACCAGTCACCGACAGTCGTAACTCGACAAAAGTTACTGCAATGGTTTCGAGGTGGGAAAACACCGGGAGTTGACTTTCTCCTGGTCGATCTGCGCAGGACTGATAATGAGGTAGGGAGAAAGGAGTTATTGTGGATGAGGGTTGATGACTTGCTAATAGCGTGCAGGGCGGTACGATCAAAGGGTCTATCAATCTTCCTGCCCAGAGCCTTTACTTTAGCCTCCCAACTCTGTTGAATCTATGTCAGTGTGCCGGCGTACGAACTGTTATCTGGTACTGCGGTAGGTCTTCATTGTCAGACATTTGGCAGCTGTCACTCACGTTTCCGACTTCCAGGTTCATCCAGGGGCCGTGGGACTCGTGCTGCTGGATGGTTTCAAGACCTGCTTGATGATCGCCAAGTCTCTGGAATGACAAGTGCAATCCTACTGAATGGGGTTACTGGTTGGGCCCGAGCGGGCGAGGAGTACACGGGTCTTATGGAGGGATATGATCCCGAGAAATGGTCGAATGCAAATTAGCAAGGCTGCTTCGGTGGAACCGTGCGACAGCTCGGAACGTAGCCACTAGTACCACAAAATGCAGAGCTCTGCACTTCTAGAAATCTTTGACCATTTAGAGATGCTTTAACTAAGCCTCATCATATCTTCATCTTCAACATTTTGTGCCTCACCGTTTGCACAGTATTCGCGCATCCCAAAGACAGAAGCTGGCGCAGATATAACAAAGTCCGCAAAAAAGCTGCGTGTATAGATAGGGCCGAGTGTGGCCAGGGCGGCGAAGGTAAAGTGCTACGACTTCTGAGACTTTGACCAGTGAGATGTTAGCACTAGCAAACCCTAAGCTGCGATTAACATGTGAGAACGTACATGTAGTGGGTAGAACAACAGCCAGCCAAGAGAGTGAAAGCAGCGAAGGAAGCTGCCTCAGCCCGGCAACCTCAACGCAAAGTGGCGCGATGGTCTAGTAAGTCAGCAAAACACCTGAGAGTGGAATTTTAAGGTGCTGGAATGATGCGCACCATCCAAAAGACTCCTAAGATTGCTCCACTAAGAATCCCAAAGAACGTTGTGAGTCCGAATCAGGTGGCCGGTATCCAGATAACAAGACATGAGAGCCCACAGAGGAAAGTTAGAGTAGTCGCAACTCCAAACCGACCAAAGCGGTCACTTGCAACGGCAATGAAGGGTCGTTCGATCGCAGTGCCCATGTTCAAAAATGCGGTCACCTGTGTTGCCTGTTTTCTAGACAATCCGATGGAGATCGAGAAGTCCGAGAGCGAGTAAAGGAGAGGAATGTATCCTAAAGGAGTAAAAGAACATCTGTTCGCCAGGCGAGGCGCAAGTCGAACGGGTGCTGTTTAGGTCGAATGACACCGTTGCGGTCGCGAATAAAGAGTAGCTCCAGTAATCCTCAACGCCCATCCAATCCCGAGATGGTCTATCAAGGCGCCAGTAGCGAAGGAGAAGATCAACCCACCGATGCCTGAGCCTGGCGCACTAATACCGTTGGCAAGACTCCTTCTTTTCGCGAACCATTGAGATAGAACTGCGATGCTGGGTACGTAGACGAATCCGACACCTAAACCGACCAAGGCACCTTGCGAGAGGTAGAGATGCCAGATACGAGAAGCAAAAGACGCTGCAATGAACCCTCCTCCCAACAAGGCTGCTCCCGCCAACATGGGTAACCTGATGCCGTAGGATCGCGCCAGGTGTGTAATCAGGGGAGCCGAGAGCATCGCGATTCCGAAGTTCAGACCGCCGATGAAGGCATATCCCAGAGGCCGAGCTTCAGGTAACGCGTCGATTGTTAGGTAGTACGATAGATAGACACCATAAGACTGTATTTGTTAGTTTTGGAACTTGGACCGCTTAGAATCAGAGGGAGACAGCCGTGCGAGGGCACGATCTCGGAAGCCGTAACTTACGGCAACAACGCCCCAGGTGAAACAGTTGACCATGAAGCAGCAAGCCAAACATACCCAGCCATACCCACCGTCTGGAGGTGGCATTGCGTTACCATCAGCTTCACTCAACTGTCCCGATTCATCCGACATGTGTGGTGATTGGCAACGATTCCAAACCAGGAGCATCTCACCGCCTCACGATGTTTAACGGACTCTGTGGGCAAAGAGACATAAGGAGTTGAAACGCACAAATACCTCTGGTTTCACTCGTTGTAGTGTCCCTAAGTAGGAGGTGTTTCGGGATGTTGTAGGAGTTGGGAGATATGGGACTGCACTTACCGCAAGGAGCAGAGTCTGTTCACCAGTGACATATCATCTTGGCACTGCCTCAATCGAATGTGCCTGGCTGGGTTTATTCTACTGTAATGACGTGACATTCATGTGCTCGGTCAGTGACATATCATCAGACGACAATCATTTACCGATTCTAGTACGACGGATTGGCCCACAAAAGTGGCCAATCGGTTGCAAGTTTACTACCATCCTGAGCCGTGGTATTCCCTTTCGCGCTTTCTCAGTGACATATCGTTGGGATAATGAGCAGAGATATCAAGCTGTTGTTTACCCTGAACACATTCACCATCCTGCTTCCACCCTCGTCCCTCTTCCAAATTCCAGTCCTACTTCGATTACGAATCCAATCTCTAGCTGTCTTGGCTTCCGTTGCAGAGATCCCAATGGACGAAAGCCAGATCTACGAGAAAGTTCAAGAAGCCTACAGTGCTGCCGTCAAATGTAACAACAGTGAGTATGGACGTAAGGTCGCTGCGGCATTTGGATACAGCGAGCAAGAGCTGGCAGGCACCCCCGACAGGGCTAATCTCGGTCTGAGCTGCGGGAACCCATTGGCGCTTGCAAAACTAAGAGAAGTACATACATCCCTCACGCTCCCTCGGCGTGGTTTTTCTTTGGCCAAACTGCGTGATGTACGCCTCGATCCATTATTTAACAGTCGAGCAGGGAGAGATCGTTGTCGATCTCGGTAGTGGAGCTGGGTTTGACGTGTTTCTTGCGGCCCAAAAGGTCGGGCCCAGAGGCAAAGCTATCGGAGTAGATATGAACAAGGTGCGTCATCTCCTAGCCCTCTCTTGCCGTGGCTTCAATCACACTAATAAACGTACGCAAAAGGACATGCTTGAGCGAGCAGAACGGAACAAAGGAAGGGCCCAATCCGACAATGTTTCATTCGTGGAGTCCCGAATCACCACAGTGGCATTGCCAGACGCCATTGCCGATTGCATCATAAGTAATTGCGTGGTAAATCTTGTCCCAGAAGGACAAAAACAGCTCGTGTTCAACGAAATGTTCCGGCTGTTGAAGACTGGTGGGCGCGTGGCAATCAGCGATATTCTGACAAGAAAGGAGCTTTCACAGGAGCTGAAACGCGACATGGCTCTCTATGTGGGATGCATCGCGGGTGCAAGCCAAGTGAAACAGTACGAGCAGTATCTTCAGACAGTAGGGTTTCACGGTAAGTTGTCGTCTTTCCCTCGTCACTGTGGAAGAGCGTCCCTTATGTAGTCAATTCTGCTAATGCTCTACCGCTGGTAACAGAAATTCTCATCGTCGACGCCCATCATGATTTAAATGTGTACAAAATGAAAGGGGCAGAAACTTCAAGCCACTGCTGTGGTACAGACGCGAAGAACCCCTGCTGTGAGAAGTCGTCTTCTTGCTGTGATAACAAGACCCTCGAGCAAGGTGATGCTTTCGAAAGCAGCCGTAATAGCTTCGCTGACTTGGATTTCAATGAGTGGGCGGGTACGTGTGACAATATCCCTTCTAGTCCGTCGTCTTGCCATTTGCTAAACGCCATCTAGGCTCATTCAAAATTTATGCGGTCAAAGCCTGAGTGAGTCCCTCTCAATTGAAGCACAACAGAATGTGCCCGTTTCGAAATTTGTCGGATTACCACGGACAGAGCAGGACAAGTTTCTGAACTTCCAAAGGCCGCATGTTTTAAGCGTCGGAAACGTCAGAAACCATTAATAAGACCTTCTGCATTGCCATTTTTTGACTCTTACCTCGCGTTTTGATCGCTTAACTGGATCTATCCTTAAATGTCTCGACGGCTCGAAATCCTATGTAGACTGACATTTGTGGTAATTGCACAGCTTGGGTTTCCAGTCCTTACTTCTCCGCATACACAACCACCCTGGATGGGTGGGAACTTGCTGTTGTGATCATTTCAGTGGCTGTGGTACTTCACGTGGCTCCTCCGGCGGCTCTAGGTGATGCATGACTTGGAAAGAAGGCCGTCAACAACACTCTTCGGCCTTCTTAGCGTCGACGTTTCCTCCCCTTCCTCGCTTGATCGTCATCTTCCAACCAATTTGACTAAGTGCTTTTGATGTGCACTTGATTCATTGATCTCGTCTCGCAAAGGAAGCGATCCCTGCAAGGTGTAAAGAGCTATCTCTTTACGGTGGCGGTGGCGCATGTCGATATGTCACCAGTCTTGGCGACGTCCATCCAGTTGTTGACTTTTTGAAACGTCTCTTTGATCTCAATCGCAGTTAGATTTCTCCGGTTCAACTATCGAATTATTTTTCTGGGCAAGATGCACCTAACGGATGATCAATTTTCCTCTGTCGGGCAGACGCAGAATAAAACACCTGCACATACCTTGATACGAGTGCGGAACAATCAGCGACGTCACCGTGAGCGACGGCGACAGTATATCACCTTCCTGGAAGAAAAAGTTGACCAGAGCGAACATCATCTCGCCCAGGCAAGAGCGAAGATTGCTGAACTAGAAATGAATTGCAGATACTGGAAGGACCAGGCTGCTAAGCAGCATGTTGATGAAGATGTGACCTCGGAGTCCTCAGCACCAATAGAGGAACAACAACAGCTAGAGGAAATAGGTGACCACACAGTAAAGACCACGTTCTCAGACACCAGTCGCTCACCCGAAATGGCTACCACATCTAAGTCTCGACCCTTCTTGGCAACAACGAACTCTAAGGTCTTAGACAGGCCCTTCACCGCAATACTTTCACCAACGGAACCATCACCACCGTTCATAATGCCAGCCTCTGTGCATCTCTCTCCTATACCCAAGCCCACTCTCATTCCGCAACATAAAACAGAGATGGACAAGGAATGTCTATCAGCTCTCAAAGGCTACGCACTCGTCGGCCAGTCCGATGATGCCTCTCACGGCCTCTTAGGTCCGGAGTCAGACTGCAAGACATATCCTTCCCTCCAAGGCGAATCGACGGTGGCTTGTAGTTATGCATCTATTTTAATTGCACAACAGAATTTTTACAGAATGGATGAAAACACTATTCGAGGTTGGCTTGAGAAAGGCTTCCGCCGCGGGCAACATCAGGACGAAGGTTGTCGGGTTGAGACATCATTATTGTTCGCTGTGTTGGATATCATCAGCACGTCTTAGTCGTACCAACTAATTGTCTTTTGACCAGGGAGACAAGTTTAGAAACCCTTACCCTTTCGTTCCATACTCTTATTGGCAGCTGGACATTTACATATCTAAGCAAAGTAGAGGCTAATTTCGAACACCAGCGTGATAGGTTGAGTCATGAAACTGCAGGCGCTCCGTTGGAGATTAGGGGACAAACTTTCGTTTAATATCTCTAGGTCCTCTGTGGCACTGTCCCCAAGTCATGAAGGGAAATAAAGGCCTGTTCTCATTCCAGTAAGTCAACAAACTGGAATTCCGTCCAACCAACCATCGATCTTCAGGCGGACGTAGTGCCCAAGTGCGGTAGATCCGTTTTCCTTTATGGCCACCTCTTCCATCTCTTGGATGATGTGATCAATATAGTCCCCGGCGCCGCTAAGATGGAGAATACGCGCCACAGCATGATGAATGGCTAGAAGCCGAGGAGAGGGAGGATCGATGGTCTTTGTTGGTGTGGTATAGAGTTGACGATTAATAGGGAGCAAAGGATCACGGAAAGGTCGGTTGGGATCAATGTAGTCGATCTTGTAGGAGTGTGGAGACTGATCGAGCGTTGGTTGAAATGATACCGCAAAATCCCCCAATTCTTGGTGCCAATGATGTGTCTGTACGATTGCGTTGATAGATCTATCGATATCAGGTCCCTCAATAAGGTGACCAGCATCAGGATCGAACATTTTCAATATCTGAAGAGCAATTCTTTTTGACTCGCTCTAATCATATGGTCAATGAAACCAAATCAATGATGGAATGAAGCACATACTAATTGTAAATCCCCAGCGTCGCTCGAGAGTGACGTGAGAGAGTGAGGAAGTATATGCGCGACTTCCAGATATTCGGGTCTTTCATTTTTGAGCAAAATCCCTTCGTCATCTTTTGAATCATCACCATCTCTTTGCCAGCGCGCCTTCGCTTCGGTGAGGTCGAACTTGCGAGATATGACACATCGGTACCGGTCGCGAGTAAGGCATTGCTGCCGCAGACGTGCAAGTCGTTGTGCGGTGCCAATGACATGGTCGGGGGTTTGGGGGAGACTGAGAATGGTAGGGGTAGGTTGAGGAGTCTTGCGACCAGAAGCTTTGACTTGCGCAATGTTAGCGTTTCAAGACCATGCACGGAAAGTACATATATTCAGTACGTGGCAGGAAGAAGTTATTCACAAAGTAGTCTGAGAAGTTGATCAAGGTTCCCTGGAGCTCATCCGACTGTTCGCGGCTCCAAGAGTGTAGATTGTCCGACACAAGATCTCGGAAAATGTTGGCATAGGAGCGTCGCGTTCAGATTGGAGATCTGCATCAACAAATAGGAAGAAGTGGTTAAGGAAGTTGTCTTTGGAGACAACCGATTCATGGACGGTTCGGAGCAGAGTAACATGTTTGTATGCCGGACGTCCAGCTTGGTAAGGTTCATACCGAGAGACGATCTGGCTGAAAATTGCGGTGGCTTGACTGAATTGATCAGGCGTTAGGACAGCAGACGACGAGAGGTCTAAAACCCCTGCAAGGACGACTGGTGTCTGTGAAGGGGTGTCGCCATTATGGTTTCTAAAACCACGATGGGTTATAGATGAAAGGACAGCGAGCGGCGCGATTGAAATGATGGTTCTGAAGTCACGTGAAGACGTGTCCGTGGCCAATGATGGAATACCAGGCTTAATAGGACAGCCTTATCACGTGCATCCTCCCTGGGCCGCACAAATGATCCGGACACGTGTGCCTTTCTTAACATACAATACAGTGCAGACTGCGCCAACAAGTTTGTTGCTACATTTTTGGGGGTTCAGAGAGGTGCCGCGACAGAACCACATGACTTCATGGCATCGAATCTTGCACCCTCACAGCACGCTCTCAGTCAGGCTATGATTGCAGTTGGCCGACTCACCACCAGGCAGATTGCCGAAAGTATTCCCTGCACTACCCGGACTGTCCAGATGCACCGTGCTAATCATCGTCGTTTCGGCACGACTACTTCACCCCGCAATCGTGGTGGACGTCGACGATCTATTACTCCTTCTATGCTGGAGGCACTCTTTGAACTTCTCGATGAGCAGCAAGATTTATACCTCGATGAGATAGCGGATTTCTTCTTAGTTGAGTACGAGTGTACAGTCTCGCTCCCAACTATCAGCAGGACCTTGAAGTTAAGTGGCTGGTCCAAGAAAATACCGCGGCGAAGAGCGGGTGAACAATGCCGGGATTTAAGAGATGCCTATCAGTACAAGCTATCCTTTCTGGACCCGAAGAAGCTCGTGTTTATTGACGAATAGGGTGCGATAGACGGGTTGGCTTCAGACGGACAGCATGGTCGCCCCGTGGTGTCACGCCGGTTCAAGTCACCCGATTTCATCGCGGGCAACGGTACCAGATTCTACCTGCCTTGACCGCGAATGGCATTTTCCATGCACGCGTATTTCAGGATGCGACAAATAGTGAGATCTTTGAAGACTTTATTCTCCAGCTCCTTCACCTTTGCGGAAGGGATTCTGTGTTCATTATGGACAATGCATCATTCCATCGCACAGATAGAGTTAAGCAACTATGTGCAGATGCTGGAGTGCAGCTAGTATATTTACCCCCTTATTCTCCCGACTTGAATCCCATTGAAGAGTTCTTTGCCCAGTTGAAAGCATACGTGAGAAGGAAGATGAGAACAATGGACTCGGATGCAGATTTTGCAGAATTTCTCGAAGCATGCATCGACGAAGTCGGAAGAGATAGTGCAAGTGCTAGAGGCCACTTCAGAAATGCTGGTATTGTTTTTCATGAATCGTGAAAATTTTGAAAGGTTATCAATCTGCGATCTACAAGGCTCTCTGACCAGTGCATATACAATGTTACAGCATCTATCAACACCATACCCCAAGAAAAATCAGTCTTTTGCCAAATCTCACACGTAGTTATCCTTCGCTTGCCGATGCCTAACGAAAGCGGGAATATCCCTGATAAATTGGATGGCTGGGGCCAATTTCACATCTCGTGCGGTGAAGAAGTCAGTATTATGTTCCTGGTAGACTTGGTCCAGATCAAGGAAGTCGTCCAACACGATATTTCCGGCTTTTTCGAACTCAGCTTGATGCCGCTTATTGCGTACTTTACTTTGCAGGTAATGAACGTAATCTTTGACTGCATCATCACGAAAACCTGGGATGTCAAGAGCACTCACTGCTTTTGGAGCGGCGTTTACGGAGTCAGCTTTCACGTCCGGAGGCTGTAGTGATGCTGGCTCAGGGTGACCAGGCAAATAATTAGTGATATTAACAGGAGGATAATGTTGGGGAGATACCGCTCTCGCCTTCCTTTTGCGATCATATCTTTGCTGATCTTCCAAACGGATCTCCTCTCGAAGACCTTCCGGGACATCATTGGGAGTATTCAGAGGGTTGCCGTCTTCAGCGTACTTGACGAGTTTCTTGAGCATAGGATTATTCAGTTTTCGATGTACCCCGGCGACCGGGTCAGGCCAGCAGTAGTTTGGCGCGTTGCACGAAGACAAAAGACATCGGAAGAGATGGAATACACCCGGCCAGATAGCAGGTTTGCCTGAGGCCTGTTGATCGTCAAGCTCGGCATCAAGTTCAGCTCGCATTTGTTGCGTGGCTGACCGCGCAGAGCGTTTGTCCGGTCTCTTCGCTGAACTGGTCTTCAGTTGTTGGCCTGCGTCCTCAGAATCTTTGTAATTGACGGACAGATCCACTCGCAGCTCCTTTCCTGGAAAGACCTCACCCCACTTAATAAGTTGTTTCTCAATCGTAGACCAGTCAATGTTGGTCTCATTGTATTGCTTGATTAGGGGTCGCTCTCCACGTTGTTTGACTGAGACCGTGATCTCTGCGCCTTGCAACGTCATGGCCTTCTCCTGGGCACGCTTCTTAGCCGCAGCATCCTCGACTTTTGAATGTAAGAAGAGCTCCCAGTACGAAGCGAGTGTCAACACGACATCCTGCTCAGTGTCTCGCCTGAAAGGCTTGCCATTCAGAGTCACTTTCCACCCGATCGTGATGCAGAGGCAAATGGGAGGATCATCATTATACGTTTTGTTCTGATCCCATTCCGATGGTTGAAGCAGAGTCAATTTCTGCGCTCGCAGATGAGGTCGGAGACAAGGAGTAGATGATCTCAGTGCTCGTTGGTGATCGGTAGATAGTGATGGATAAGAGTCAGAAAACGGTGAGACCGAGTCCGCTTGATCAGACCACCGCGGTGTCGGCGCATGCAGAAAGCCTTGGGAGTCAAAGTCGTCTGAGGAAAACAGATCACCGAAAGGAGCGGACGAGCCCATGGCCTCAAATCGTACCAGCGATTCGTGCTTCGCGCTCTGAAGGCTCACAAAATTGGCGTGGGCTGTTCTGTTGTGGACAGTTAGGCGTAGTCGACCGCAGTCGACCACCGTTGCGATTCCATCGGCTTCTCCACCGTAATCCACATCTTCTATCCAAATCATCCATGCTTCATCCTCAAAAAAGGTTCCTATACTCCTGCGTCATTCTCAGCAGCTGTAAAATGCGCTTTCCCGTACATTTTTCTTCTTCTGTGCTACACGTACATTTTTCTTCTTCTGTGCTACATGTACCCTGGCGGGCATTGCTGAGAAGTCACACGAAAGTTGTCCTGACCCTTGATGCATCAACTAGCGCGACGATGATGGCTGGTTCATCACATGCCACATCATTACGCAGATTGATGACTGCCTCCTCCCTCAATATCAATCTCGAGAAAGTCTGAGCGTCTGGGATCGTCGAAAGAACTGGGGTCAAACACGACGTGACGATCATGTCAACGCCACCATTCTACAGCACCGCTTTAAGCACTGCCTGCCAGCTCTTGGAGATATGCCCATTCCTTACCTCCCCTCTGGTCTTATAGGCGGAAAGAGAGAACGCCATTGTGGAGGCCTCTCCATGCCGCAAGGTTTTTCGCTCGTCGCTCGGCTTATGCTTGTTTGGATGGATCGTAGATAAGCTTATCTGACAGATGTGGCAGCTAAGCTTTCGCCCAGATAATGGGAGCTTCGTTCTTCTAGGTGGCACAACAGCGGTGACAGTGTCTGAGTCGACACAAGGAACAAAATACATAAAACATCAGTACGACACGGATGATGCAACGGAAGGAAGAGGTGATAAATAGGTCTAAAACTAGGGATCCGGGCCCAGCCAGGTTTCAAATAATAGCCGAGGGATCACAAAAAGGTTTCTGGACAAATTTTTAAAAATTTTGCAAGTGTGGGTGGTGATTCTCCGTCGCCGACCCACGTGGATTTGTCGCTATACGAAGAAACTTTGTGACATGCCAAGCCAACAGCCACTGAGAAAATCAACTTGATTCGAGAATGAAACAAAGGAAGGTGGTGGAGGTATGTATCTCTCCAGTTCGGATGACGAGGGAGACGACTGACTTCAACGCCTGCGGAAAGAACCGTTGAAGTTGTCCATACAAAAGTCCCAGTGCGGCCGCGTTCTTGATACATCGCGCTTGAGGGTAACACCCAAACCGTTTATATCTAACAGTCCCTCCGTTGAGCAGACATCCAGGCCCCATAATCGGTGACCCGCTAGAATCCAGATTCCGTGATGATCGGCTCGTCGATAGATCTTGCTACCTTCAAAGATTTCTTCACGACCCAATGGATCCATAAACAAGTGCGACCATTCACCGGATGGATCCCGCACAAAGTCTGGATCCTCGTCACTCGCCCAGAAGTCTCTGAGAAGGCATACAGGATTAAAGTCGAAGTCGAATCCTAAGGCAGCTTGTCGCAGACTGCCGCTCTCGGGCTGAAATTCTAGAACCAAAACAGGACCCCATTGACCTGGGTGCAAGATTGCGGAATATGGTTCTCCTGAAGGATTCCGTGGATAAAGCACAGTGGATATAGGCAGCCGGCGAGGTGTAAGGCTGAATCCGTAGCTCTTTTTGTTGAGGTGCTCTTGCTCTCTTTCATTGCTCACACTCTGGCGTATGTAAAGTCGTCTCTCCTCGGTCGGTCGATTTTGACTTTTATGCGCTGTCCGGCTACCACGCCAGAGCCCGTTCTGGTTTATATTAACTCTTATGTATTGGTCATCTTGGGAAAGGCGTCGAAGAAAGATACCCATAGCAGCAGGGCGTTGGTCCATAAGTTGATCAGTACTATCAATATATGCTAGATACGTATCAGCTGCCCACGGAGTGATTTCCAACCCGATTGAGAGGCCACGATTCGTCATTGCAAAAGGTTCACGGCCTTTAAAAGACTCCCCTGACGCTAGAGAATGACATCTGGAGAAGTAGGCTGGACTGGGAGCAAGTAGACCGGAGAACTTAAGATCCTGCATAGACCAAGCAAAGATAGAATGGTCATCGTTATATTTGATGATTTCTTCCTGAAGTCGAACGAATGCTCGCTGTCCCTCTCCATAGAGAAGTGGCATGTTGACATCAAAGAGACCGAGTAAGCAGTATGCGCCGTCTTCAGTACGGGTTGTGGCTCTTCCAGCAGACCAAGACATCCTCTGAGCAACGGAATATTTGGTGAAATCCCCTGAGATGAGCGCTGCTGTAGGTATACGGGTGATTGAAGCAATCCGTCTAGCTAGAGCAGATTTACTACCCAGACGTCGCCAGAGTCGATCGTAGAAAGTCACTCTGCGTGGGGCGAGTAGCTCCTGTAGAGTCCATCCACGTTTGAACCATCTGCTCTTCGGAAGTGATCTCTTCCAGTTTGTCTTCTCCACATCGTTGAGATAAACACAGCAAAGCCTCGCACCTTGATACCAGTTGTACATCGAATTGATCGCCTCACTAAGCTCGGCACTACTCTGCTTGTTTATGCAGCAGGTGTCGATCCAGAAATGTTTCAATCCATTTTTTTGTGCCTGTTGTGCGCAAAACCGAATCTTGACATGGCCAGCCTTGCTCTTCCATAATTCATTTTGGAGATCGTCAAAACTGACCTCATCTTTTTCCTTTCCCCAGGTATGCGAGAGAATCACGTAAGGTGGAAATTTGGCGTGGAGATCCTCGGTCACTCTGAGAGAGCCTTGATTGTCGAATTTCAGCAGACGCATCGATCGTAGGCAGTGATCGCGTACGCGGTGAGAGTACGCTCCGTTTAGTCGGGATCCTCGGGCTGAGAGAACGATTGAACGAAGACATCGTGCAGAAGGTCCAATCAGGCTGGATATGTATGCTCGAGACAGCGCATCCGGCCTCCATAAAGCAGACGAGCTTCTGCGCAGAGGGCTGCAGGCAGAGGGCTGCAGGCAGAGGGGTGGGGGTAAGATATGTGGCACAGTCCTCGCAGCCTTGGCAGTATATCACGCGTCGGGATTCACGTGTTTTCCAGTTCTTCAACCACCCCCATGGTTTGGCCAGAAAATTGTTCGTTGCTGCTGTTATTGATGCTCGCCACAGGTTTTCATGTGGTAGCGACTTCAGTTCGCCGCCCGCTCGCAGATGAATTACTGTAAACATTGGCTATACTGTTGACACTTGTGGCCAGTGGATCCCCTCACGATGGAGGTCCAGCAGCTCGTAGAAACCCTCAATATTAGTCGGGGAAATGTAAATGCGGCCACGCAAAATCAAGGTTTAGGAATATGGATAAGCTTGGGGATAAAACTGTTGCCGCGTTAAACGATTAACCTCGCTATCCTCTTCGAGACAAGCGGAAATTTTCCCGTACCATAAGTTACAATCAAGGGTGTTACAAGCCTTGTCAACTAATTGGTAGCATAGCCGAGGGTGGCTTATATATATGTAGCTAGCGTAGACTACAATGGAGTTAAAAGTGGTCCCAAATAATTTGGAGTGTGTGTGCAGTGCGAAGGCGCAATTGAAATCGCCTGTACAATAGGCCAATACTTACACAAATATCTTCACTTCTATCACTCAAGTCGTTTGTTCTACCTAAGTGAACGCCACCAGCCTCCCCCAATAGACCTGGTGAACATCTTCAGTCCCAGCTTGAGGCAGTGGTTCATCCCCATGGGTTTTTTACGATCGCCAGTCCATGCTTCTAATACTTTTAGAGAGACCGGAGTGATTGACGATGCTAAAACCCCGGTGTTAGCTGGCAGCACAGCACGGGGAACCTCCTTACACTTGTGCCTTTTAGAACCACCACTCTGTGGGGTCGCCCTTGGCTGCGACACTATATCAATAAGTCATCCGGGGTTTTGGCGCGGAGCTGATTGATACAAAACAATGGTGGTCTCCGGAGCATATGCCACAATAACAGTGATCAAATTATGGATAAATGGGGTTATCTGGTAATCAGTATACTTGTTGAACACCTATCCAACAAACAAGCGTCAAAGATATTTCCAAGTAGACGGCCATTTTTGACAAATCTACGCGTTAACTATCTGATAGCCATTAGACCTCCATCCACTATCAAAGTAGTTCCATTGACATATGTACTATCGTCACTTAGGAAGTAAGAGACCGCGTTGGCGATCTCTTCCGGTGAACCTTGCCTCCCCAGAGGAGTCGAGTTAACAAGTGTCTCCAAGACAAACTTCTTCTTCTCGGGTGAGAGTTCCTCAAGCCATTTAACCATTGTATCGGTGCGGATAGACCCAGGAAGGACCGAGTTAAAACGGATAAGGTCTTTACCATAGAACTGAGACCCGGTGCGTGTGAATGCAATAATCCCGGCCTTTGCAGATGAGTAGCCAGGCTGTCCCAAGCCCACAATTCCATTCACGGAAGAAATATTGACGATGGAGCCTCGAGTCTCGACCTTCCTGTCTGATGGTGTTAAAGTAATGACTCGAGGTTCTTGCTTTCGCATCTGAACCGCTTCGTATCTTTGACAGAACCAAGTTCCTCTTTGGTTGACTTGGTACATCCTATGTTTCAGGGTTATTAGTCTCTATTCAGCAGTTCTGTCTGATCCGTGGCCAGTGAATTTCACTCACTCGTCAAACACCTTTTCTGTCACATCTTCCTCACCATCAGTGAAAATCTCAGCTTTGCCAGCACAGTTACAGGCCCAGTCAAGCCGTCCCCAAAGTTTCACCACTGTGTCAACCATGTTGATGCAATCTGCCTTGACGGCAGTGTCAAGCTTGACGAATGCAGAGTCGACACCATATTTCGCTTTTAGATCCTTTGACACTTGTTCTCCCTCGGTGATATTAATATCAGCCACAAGGACATTAATGCCACGGCTGGCTAACTTGTGAGCTGTGGCTTTTCCAATACCTGAGGACCCTCCGGTCACAATTGCAGACTGGCGACCAGGCATCTTGAATTGAAAAAATTGAAGCTTGTCCTTGGAACAGGAAAAACAGCTACTTACGCCTAGGTGACATAGCCTCTTCTTTTATCAAAATCCGATCAACCCGTCCAAGAAACGGTCTGAGTGGGTTGAAACCCATTTCTGCCATCAAATCGTGGCCATCATAAATGTCGTCTGAAAGACAGATTGGCTCCATACAGAACATGAGAACGAGTGTGGGGCGCCGCCCCCTTAGGCCAACTCCGATTATCTACCCTTGCAAGAGTACCAAAGAACGACTGCCGACAAGACACGACCAAACACCAGGCTACTGTATCTATACTAGAGTCTGCGCTACCCTCTATATACAGTACTGTCAATTTCCTGGGGTGCGCATTATCGTAAGAAGTCTTTACAACTGCCTTACTAACCACGTAAAACCGAGGCTCGAAAGCGCCATTATTCATTGGTAAAAATATTTAGAGCAAACTATTACATGTTTGGCTAGAGATGTTCCACTTATTCCTTAGCCTCTACGGAAGAAAGTTGCAATGTCTCAGCAAAGGGGAGGGCGGTTTCGGGAAATACTATACAGTACGATGCTGCCAGATTTACAATGTTTGAAGGACCGGACTTACCGAAAGGTCGAAACCACAAAACCTTGAAGTCTTGTGAGTTTCGTGAACAGTACTTCGACAATTTCCATCAAAGACGGCCCAATGGTTTCTGCTATAGTACAGTGTCTCAAGCCAGCTTCACATTGAGAACCATGGACGGCCCAAACACATTGACTAAGCTTCTGTTACAGATAGACTTTGGGTACGAGTACCAACATATGCGAGGCATCCCAAAAACTCCTCTTTCCACAAGACGAGTGATGTCGACACTCGACTCCTTAGGCTCATTGAGAATGTTTTTCACATTGAGAGTCAACCCTGATTCAAAAACCACCTCGTTTCTCTCATAGATTCGCGTATGTGGCTTCAACGAGTTAAAAAATTCCTCTTGAAAGAATCCCGGCTCAGGAAATGGTTTGTTCATGACGACTAGTATTAGGTAGTTGTCAATGCCAAGCTCGGCCACATGAGTGTAATCTTCAAGGTCCTTCCCAATCACCATAAAGTTAGGTCCAGATGCTGATCTGAGTAACGGTAGCCATCCGTTTTTTTCTGAGTCGATGAATAGTTGACTTAGGAGGCGATTGGCTAAGTCCTACTACACTTTTGGTGTAGATGCTTGTAAAGCCTTGCGACGAAAAGGCCAGGGAAACAGCATTGTGGAACGGTGATCTCTGATGCGCCGGTCAATGTGGAAAATGGTGAAATCTATTACTATAATTGGGCTAATCTACAGTACAAACCTTGGCCACTGAGTACCATGGAATCTTCTTCCTCAGATATTGGGAATATCGGGAAGCCGGGCCCCACCTTTCTCTACTGAAGAGTAAAGCCTGCAAATAACATGGTAGTCTTTACAGTATTATTATCTTGAAAGTATGAACACACAATCTGTTATCCTCTTCATGCGTCACGATCAGTACAGTACTGTGCAGTGCCGTGAACTTATCGTCCTCGACACGAAAAATTCCGTGTGATGTTGTTTTCTATGAAATCTACCGTATGGGTATACATCCTGGTCAAAAAAGTCATATGCAACTTTGGATCGCACGAGATCGCATACTGGGATAGACCTCGGGCAGCCTTAATTAGGGATAACATTTACCTAGAGGGTGGATGGATGCAGACCGGAACCTGGAAAGATGGCGCGTGGGATTTGGAGTCGCTAGCCACAGTCAGTCCTTCATACGGGATGTTATTTAAGCTCAGCCTGCACAATTCTTTCGGCACAAGGGCAGAAGACCCACCCGCCTGGTTCGAACAGATTCCGGAAGGCGGTGTCAAGAACTACTACCTCGATGGCTATATGTTCGCCGATGATGACGAGTTCTATGCATGGGGGTAATTACGTTCGCGTCAATAGAGGACACAGCTAATGGTTAAATCAGTGGTATGACCATGGTCTCCCAAAATACTAGCACACGCACGGTGAGCATGGTCCTGTATGATGATACTCAGTCTACCAATACGTCAATTGGTCTGCCTGACATGAGTTATAAACCGCAGAACGGGTCTTTTATCACCGCCACAAACGGAGCTGGAGCCAACGCTCCCAGCGAGCGACGCAGCTTCTATTTTGGCGGATTCTGTAATGACAGTGTGGCGGCATATTCCTACTTCAATCAACCTAAAAACCAATGCAAATGGCTGATAACTGTTGATATGTCAGAACTTGGGCATGCCACTTGGTCGAAGAGGCCACTGAATGGGAACTCCTCCTGGCGAAGCGAAAGTGGACTCGTATGGGTACCAACATCGACGGCAGGCATTCTGGTTGTCATCGGTGGAGTTATACAGCCAGCGGATACGAACTTTGAAATTCCCCACGACAATCACACCCAATCCATAACATATCTAGAACAATTTCCCATCTACGACATAGGCTCTGATACTTGGAGTACGCAGATGCTCAATGCAGACTCTCCAGTACCGGTTGTACCTCTTGCACAATTCTGCACCGTTGTGGCGTCAAGCCCTGATAGTTCCCATCAAGAGATTTTTGTTTATGGAGGCTGGGATAGCAATGGAGGGCAAGCGCAAGATACTGTCTGGATCTTGACAGTTCCGTCATTCACATGGGTCAAAGCATCCAGCCCTGGGCGTATAGGCGGCGCAAGGCAAAATCATGTCTGTGTGACGCCGTACCCTGATCAGATGATTGTTGTTGGTGGCACGGGAGTCGGCGAAACCCCTCCAACTTATAACACTACTGTGGACGTTTTCAGCCTCAATACATTTACCTGGACAGGACGATACGATCCAGACATTTACGATGAATACAAACCTCATCCGGACATTCAGAAAATTGTTTCAGCTACCCCAACTGCGAGTTATATGTCCACTGAAGTCGCGAGTTGGTTTGATACCAAGTACGATATGAACAAGGTCAGATGGTACGGACCCTATCAAGATGACTGCAAGGTTTTATCCCCGAGAACATAGTGTTGAAGTAGGTTTGGATTTGCAGGAAAGCCTCAATCCCATACGTACTGTAAATCAACAAAAGTACGGTATGTGGAAAACTACGATTATTTGCACCTGAGCTGACTAATGTGGTGAATTCGCGCGACGGTAGGCTTTCTCCCGAGGTGTTTGAAGCCATCGAATTTGATCGATCTAATCACCATTCGTGGAGCCACATGCGGTAGTTTCGTACAGTACTGTACAGCATCTTGAACGTAAATGATTGTATGCTAAATAGCCGCTGGCCTATTTCCCCTCCGAGTTCTGCATGATCGACCATGAAGCGCCCTCGATGTTTCACCAATTTGCACAACCGCCGGGACAAGCATGAACAAATCAGAACCATGATTAAAGGTCCTGAAGCTGGTGCCCAAAATAGAACTTGAGCGAGTACCCATCAGAGGCCACTAAAACCTGTGGGCTAAACCGGGTGGGGATTGCTGGGAACGACAAATATAAATACTGCCGTTACCGCCACAACAATCGCCTACTTGGATTTTGCAGTGCACAGCATCTCTCATACATCTGAAACAAACTTTGAAAGTGTTTCGCAGCATCAACGCAAGCTATGCGAGTCTTTGAGATTATGTGGGGCATTCCGTTGACCTGCGCCGCAATATCGAGTTTTACTAGCGAGCAGAATTTACAGCACAGCATATTACCTAGCTTGCATCATCCTTCAGTCATGATCTGTCAAAATCAGTACGCCTAAGTCCGTTCGGTCCTCGTCTAATCTAATGGGGCGCAGACTCTGGCAGCCTCCATGCCTCACGATCGAGCTAGGACCTTCTCATAACAGGGCCCCGCAGTTTTGGAATGCTCCTGCTCCTGGAGGACCAGGTCCGTTTCGAAACGGAGACTATACAGTCCGTTCTTGGGTACCTAGTCCGGGAGTTCTGACGTGGTGGGAGAATCGAGAAGGAAATCTGTCTCATGTGCTTGGCTGGCCCGGCGCTGCGAGGCTTGAAATAGGATGGGAGAAGGATATTTGGAGGTGGTGGGCAGTGTGGGAGGATGTCGAAGATCGACTCGATTCCTCCCAACTCTAGGTCCAGCTAAGTCTGGCTCCTCGAACCCATCAATCCATGGGGTACATAGCAAGAACAGGGAAGGGTAGTCTGAATTCCAACATTCTCAAAATCCATGCACCATGCATCGGAAATACAACATCACGCCTCTGAAACGCCAACGCACTCTGAGTGCTATTCTGAAAAGGGCGGGCGAACGTAGCATAGCGCTACAAGATCAAAAATCTAGGACTTGAACCCGAGGAAGATACGGTACACGTGGGCAAGAGGACAAATGTGCGGTTACTTTGGCGCTTAACGTCATCATTTAGCAGTATCGGCAGGCCATGGCGATGCAACAAAGCCAAAAACTATGAAGTATTGTGAGTCAGGGACCTTTGTATTGTCTATTTGAAACTTAATTCATGGCAAAGATTATAGTATCCTCCTTCCTGCCCTAGACTACACAGAAGGCACCAGAGCTTTTAGGCTGGCTTCAAAACGATACAGGGAACAAACAACTAGAATCTAACTTCGTGATAGATATCTCGATCCTCTGGGAGGCCTCAACTTACCCTTAAACGTTCTAGCATTTGCTCGTAGGATGCGATATAGTCTTTGAGCGAATCTATCGTTCCGGCGTTTGGAGGACCTTTTTATTGTATACGACTGTAAAGCTTTCCCAGGTTGCAGATGACTCTTTAAGCCCCATGGTGAGGATTCCGAACTCTCATGAGCAAATACCGCAATTTGCCAGACGTGCGGACCAAGTTCACCATCCCACAGCCCATCACTTGTAGGATTATTTGCTTGAAAGCCGTAGTGTCTTAAGACACACTCTGGGTGGGTTTCTCCAAGCCAGGTGATATCGAAAATGGTCTCGTTGTCGATGTCGGATCCACGTGCTGACAATTCAAATGTGAGGTTCGAGAACTTTTCCATCTCCGAGTGCGCCGAATACCTCGACTTCATACAGCCAATCAGCTGGCTCATGAATGCGTGCTTAGTGTACATTTCGTTCGCGACCGAGATCCGGAAGCCGGTGCCGTATTGAGTCCAACTGACATGGTTTTGAGAGTTTTGTGTGCCGAAAAATAACTTGACGTCCATCAGGACTTGAGTTGACATGAAGTACGATTCGCAGTTAAGGCCAAAGTTGCAACATTGCTCCTCGATTTCAGACAAGGGTGGCACTTGATTTTCCTGCTCATATGGAGGCGGCAAGGGCATTTCGTCGCCTGGATGGCTCTCTGATTGTACCGACATAATTGCAAGTCTCGCCTTTTGTACGGTACGGTATAGTACTGTGCTGTTCAAGAATTTTAAACATAATATGATTTCTGTCCATCTTGGCAAGAAGATCAGTACTGTAACCATGAGATCCTATGTGTAGCAGACACCAATAGTATCCTTTTACGTAATGTCCAGGGTAGAAACAACCACAAATTTCTTTGGTAAGAGATCACCAATCTTTAGAGGATAGACTACGACGTAATGAATAAATAAATCGATGTGTACCCTCTAATTGGCAGTAATGGTGTGTCACAGTGCAAAGTGCAACATCGAAATACTTGTGGACATCTGCACTTGATCTGGCACTGGTTCTGCTCTTCTTAAGCTCGAGTTCCTCTGGATAAGATCTCCGCAGATCAAATGCAGTCATCTAGTATACTGTAACCCTAGCGAGATAATGGAACGAAGATAGAGCGACTTCGATGTGGTTCAAAGTCAACAGTAGTCAAAATGAGTTCTCTATATCGCTTTATTAATCGGTGACCTATAAAAATCTACTCCTGGCTATCAGTTTTCCGCTGGCTCCCTTAATGTCCCATGACAACCGCACATCACAGCCTCTCACGAACAGGATCGCAGATGTAGTTCCCGTACAATGGGCGATTGCTTTGTCATACCCAGAGAGTCTGCGTGATTTGATGGCTTTCCTTTTCTGACACTGATCTGTAGTATTTGAACGACCAAAACTATCGGTGCTTCTCCGAGCGGTTGCAGTAATTCCCGTCCAAAGTAGTCCATAAAGAACAATCCTGATTTGACGTTCCTTCAAACTTCTCACTCTGTCAATTCCATGTCTTCGGCGAAAGGGAAAATTGAGGACCAAGAATTCGTGAGACCCGTCGTCATGAGCGACAGAGAACTGACTGGGGGGTAGAGCTCACCCCGAGATTCCAGGAAGTTCCTGCCTATATCCACCTTATGGAGTAGTGATAGGCGTTCTTGATGCCTGTTCCAGGTTCGGGCCCTGTCGTACCAACCCTGCGGATTATTTAGGCTTCGCTGGTAAACTAACCATCCTCTCTTCTTTTCTGGTGGATGGACCGGGGCGAGAACAAGACAGTGCCGAAGTTGATCTCGCTTTCTAAGCACATGGAGATTATCATAGAGATCCTGGGCATCGTAGACCTTGTTGTTATCACCGGCACACTGAAGATGTAGTGCAAGGACTTCGAGTTGGCCCAGGTAGGGCTGAACATTACAGAGAAAGCGTGAAGTAGCCATCTCATGCTTGTCTAAATATCTAGACTCGGAGTAGAACTGGAGTTGTGGCAGGGAAGCTCCACGAGGGAAGTTCATTGCAGTACACCAGTGAAGCTCCAAGACTTTCAGCTTTGGAAAGACGGTGGCAAGAGCTTTTTCTTGACGCTGGTCTACCGGTGAAAGCGACAGGGCAAGGTGACTGAGCTGATTTGCTACTCCAGAAATCCAGTCAATGTCCCGAAAGAAGCCGACTAGATTCAAAACATGTAGAGTAATCCAGTTACCATGAAGCGCAATTGCAGTATGGAAATATCCCCTGAAAGAGAGCATTTGGAGTTTTGGTAGTCGCGATGCCTTTAAAGATATCTGTAGAGATTCAGAATATTCAGGGTTGATGATAGACAGTTCTTGGACGCTTGGAAGGTGAGGGAATTCGACATCACTTGTATCGTCATCGCAGTCTAAGACGAGTGTACGGATTGGTAATTCTCGGAGACCTTCCAATCCTGCTGCCCGTACGCGTAGGACTTTGAGTTTCGACAGTGTCTGAAGTTCTCTGAGTGGAATGCTGAGAGGAAGGTCGACCCATATCTTTTTGAGATGTTGTGCTTTTCCTAACATTTTGACGAAATTGTCAAAAACTTCCTTCGGGACATCGCCGTACCTGTTCGCGACTTCTTCCAGATTGCGCGCCCGTATCATGGACGGACGGGTGATCTCTCTTACAAGGTCCTCGAAGAAAGCCATGACCCGGACAGATCGCAAGCAGCTCACGAGCTCAGGGCGATGAAAAATCTCCTTGACCTTCTTGAGCTGGTCTATTTCCTTGGCCACAGATGGGTCACTGGAGGTTGGACCAGGAAACTGATTTGTGTCGTAGATCTCCGTTGAACATGGGAGTGGGCATCTTAGATATTGAAACTGACTCTCACGTCCCAGTGTAGTAAAACGAGAATGGACCAATTTCAGGCTGGACCAGTCAGACTTCTTAAGCTAGTACAGCATTTCAGCAAAAAAAGAGCAAAATTTTATGTACTCGGTCACCTTTTGGAAAATGATCATTAGTATCTCGTTAGGTACTTTCCGCAGCTCAAGTTGGCTACTACCAACCGACTCCCTCGACGTGACCTTTCTAGACTTCGATCTCTTGCGCTTGAGCCAATCTGTAGACCGTTAACAGAAATTAATTTCTCGGTTCGAGTAGAATACTGTCCCTACCTCCATGATTGTTAAATATCCAAAGTCCATTCTTAGATTTCTTGTAAGTTTTCGCCATTTCCGCTGTTGACCAAAGTCCCTGCAGTATGAGGCCAGTCTGGATCATCCTTGCTTTTACTCGCCTTTTATTTTCCTTTACTGCTGATCATGTATCCACCGTTAGTTGTGGTGTTGACATCTGTCAAAGACTAGAGCTCAAATCCCTCACAATATCAAGGATAATATTAAACCAGGCTTATCTACATGTCCTATTCTCAGGGTATCCTAGACTGGCTCCGTGGTTCCGTCCTCCCATTGACTTTGGTTACAATTGAGTAGTGGCAATATAGTTGGATCTCTACAGATACTGTGACGCACGGTACTTGAAGACAACAGTCCGTGACTATCTTTGTGCAGTACGTATGTCATGTGAGACCTACTTTAATAATAAATATGTACGAAACATAACTTCACTAGATCTAGGAAGGACTATTACCCAGATCTCATTACAGTGTTGTCCGTCAAGGGTACGCTGCAACATTGCTATAAGGATACTCGGCCGTCCGAGCTAGAACGGCTCTTGGAAATGGACGCCGCGCAGACATTTTCATCAACAATGGATCCAGGTATCCAGGGAGAAAACAGTCTTTTTCTGCACTTTTCGCCTGAAGAGAGGTACGTGCAGGCGATACACATGGAGATGCAACCCTGGACTTTATGGACGCCGAATTTGCGAAATGATGTCAATCTGATGAGTCTCGATATGTTACGCTGCTTCGGATCCTACCAACAAGAATCAATCGTGGTTCCCGGATTAACACCTTGCATTCTTCCCTGGCAGATACATGTATACGAAGAATATCTAGTCCTGCAGAACAATGTATCGAACATCTCCTTCACCGCAGACGTGACGGCTAACCTAGCCAAGAAATACGTTTGCAGATATCTGAATTGCTTCAGCAGACGGACAGGAAAACACAGCAGTTTCAACCGGGCCGATCACCTCAAGCGGCACGAGATGACTGTTCATAAAACACCTGGTAGCCCAGTGTTCAGATGCTGGGTATCAGGTTGCAGGAGGCCTTTTACGCGCAAGGACAACCTTCACGCCCATTTGAAAACTCATTTAGGGAAACCTGGGAGCCGGAACCGATATGTCGCTAGTCTCGACCCACAGAGCTCGGTATATAATCTGCAATGGGAAGGCGAACTTGATTACTCTGGATTCCCGGTACTTGGGTCAACCTCCAGGGGCGCAGAGATCAGAGCTGGGTAGCAGAATCTGGAAGCGACCTCAGGATTGGGAGAGTCACGGCTCCTTACTGGTTCACGACGTGATAGCTGAGTTCACGGCATCGAGACGGAGACACTGTGTAGTTGGAATTCCACGTTAAGTTTATGCATTTCGATCACATTGTATACTCATAGCAATCCGACCCATGGTGGGTGATCCTAACCTCAAGTTCCCGAGCCACTTAAGGTGATACAGGTGTTCAATACTACAATCCGGGCCAACTTGATGCCCGCCATCAACCCATGACCGCGATGGCTGATGAAGTTGCGTAGGCTTGGAGAGACAACCGTTCACTAATTTCAGTAAAGCTTGTGGAAGACGACTGGGGCTGAGGGTTTTCGAGCATTCTAGGCCACAATTCCTGCCTGTGAAGGTTTTCTCGTCGTGGAAATTCACGTCGGATGGGTTCTCTGACAGTATGATGGAGCCGATCGACAAGCATGCACCAATCGATGCTAGCTTTGAGGTAGGTTCTAGCGGATAGGGACTCCCACAGTTACAAATCAAGCGATAGATAAATGGGTTGTGCTTCTAGGGTCATTCGAGCCAACAAGAAGTGCTTTTCCCTTGGCCCCAGTCTTCCGCAACGGGCGATAGTGATCAGGACCAGTGGCCGAAGTAGACTAGGAGATTGTGTCTGATTCGCCCTACTGGGGCCATCAGACTAGGCTGAATATGAACCATGATTGTAGGAGGGAACAGCCGATGAAATGACGACTACAGCAGAGGTTCAAAATATAGGAAGCGAGTTATCAATGGGTGGGAGCAACTCCACTTCTAAATCCATTGGCAGATCTAGATAGTCGCTTACTGTATCTCAGCGCTGGTGTCACAATTCAATTGAACGTCAAACGTTCAATATTTTTCTTAGCACCTCGATGGAAAAACTGGAATTTCTGCCAAAGTAACAGTATAATGTCGTCTGCGCTTAAAGCTGCGCCTGCCGGTGGCGCCCTGCTGACCTACACTGACGTCCCTTTCTTCGGAAACATTTCCATGTCTGAAGTGGATGTCTTCCTCTTTGATGACGCAGGCAGCGGTTACAGGCGGTGAATATATTCGAACATGGCTTTGATGTGCGGGTGATGTTGGCAATAGTCGAAAAAGAAGGAGCCACGAATGTGAACGGCTATTCCGACGTCCGAATAAATGTGTACGTGATCCTTGTCCTTTCCATAATTCTCTTTAGCTGCAAGGACACACGTAGAATGGTTATTGAAGAGTGGCATTAGGTGTTAACTAAGTTAGGATAATCTGAAGGTCTCTAACTGTATCTGCGAATCAGGAAGGAGATTCTTTGGCTGTTCGTGTGAAATCCGTCCGACGCGATAGTCGATGCGTGGTAAAAGGACGGATCGCGTAATAGTGGCAGCTTTGACGACTTCAACAGTTCTTGAGTTTCAGGGACGGTGAGAAGAGTGTCCAAAATATGCGCAACTCTCATTTTTGTCCTTTTCGTACACAAGTGTCCTCTCTTTCTTCTTAAAACAGGATGGGCATTATTGCGACCCATAACCTAACTGTTATTCAATGTCGACCTGGATCCCCAGACGGTGTCAAATCTGGCACGGATCCCGGAGGATTGTAAATCAATAGATACTTTCAACTGCAGCTTGCGTCGTGGAGGCAATTGAGACTCATATTGGGCCGACAAGGAGGGCATGCATGAATACTGTCCTGTTTTTGACAGCCGAAGGCAGTGAGACACGTGGATTATCATGAGACGCAGTTAACCCCAGTGCCAATCGTGCCAGTATTCAGTGTACACAATTGCACCTAGAGCCCAATTGAGTGGAACCATTGGCTGATGAACAACATATACTCATGCACAAAATCCCTTCGTGGTGCAGCGCGAATTAAATTGTGCCGCATAGGGCTCTCATAAGTGGCAGCAGCGAATGACGAATCACTCTGGTAAAAAGCTCTTCGAATGGCATAGCCTCAATGTTGCTATCGGTGATCACGTAGGCAAGGTGTGAATGCAAGGGACATAGTCGCTGCGGGAAATTCCACAAGCATACGTGGACAAGCATTGCTATAGGGACCTCCACTCACGTGAAATGTTCCTTTCCCTAGTGAAGGTCTCTAGTCGGGCCCTAATGGCTGCCTGTGCAAAGGAGCCACCCTTTCATGCCGATCTTCACCACAGTTTGCCGTGGGAGTGAAATCTTTGTGGACATTTGCTCTCGTGTTTCGAACACTTCGGCTTCATGCGGCGATGAAGCCGCGATTTCTGATGGATGTACCGTCTAGCGTGTTTCAGCATTGAACGAAGCAACCATCCACAACTCTCACTGGTGGACGCGTTCGGCCGACCTTCCACATCCTGCCACCAAAAGCCCATGGGTCTGCACTCTTGGTCACGACCTCTTTATCGACCTCCTACCACGGCTTCCTATGGCTTTTGGGCATCCAATCACGGGCAGCGGATGTTGGGCGGATGTCGGCGGAGCCGTCGCGACCGATTTGGTGACCTTTAACCATGGTTTCTTATAGCTTTTAGGCATTTAATCATGGCGTAGTGGATGTGACGGAGTGTTTTATATCTTATCACACTTCTTCGTGAATTTTAGGCATCTAAATATAAGCATTTAATTATAGGTAGCGAATTTTGGCGAAGTGGTAGCGAAGTATTTCATATTTTATCACGTTTTACTACGCTCCTTCGTGGATTTTATCTGCGAACTGTCGCGACCACTTTAATGATCACTCGGTCCTCACCTGTTTCGTGCATTATTCTGCTCATTATGTTATAATTCTCCGTGTATTACCTCGCCAATCACGAATTAAAGCTCATTTTCCCTAGAATACTATGGTATCTTATTCTGACGGTCTCTTCCGGCCTATATCCCGCTTCTTATCCACCTCTATCACGACATTTATTTAGCAGAAAAGCACTATACATTTAGTCTAGCCTTTTACTCTATATTAGACTGTCTTAGCGATAAAGCTTCACTAATACTTAAATAAAGCTTAAAGAACTATACCCTTTTTCTGAATTAGGTGACCAAATAATAACCCGCATTTTCTTCGATCTATACATGTTAATTAGGTGAGGGGCGTCTTAACAGGTCCCCTAAATCTAAGGGGGTAGCATTGGAATTTGCCCGCTTTAAAGCGGTTAGTTAACTAAGCAATTCATGCACTATGGTTAGTACTTATAATCATTCTGATACCCTTTCCAGCGATTAAGCAACATGTTAATGATTGAGTATAGTAATATACCTCTGCATATATTATAAAGAGTGTAAAATAAGACGCTAAAGACCATGGAAGGATGCCACTCGAGTGGTCGCGATAGCACGAATAAAATGCCATAGTATACTGTGATAATGCACTGCATAAGCGACGAAATATAGGAAGAACTGTGGTAAAAGGTCGCGCTAAGACTTATTAGCTTAGTGACAAAATCGTTCAAAAAGTGCGGTGAAGTGTGAAACATATCTCCTGAATGACTACTCTTGACTAGATAAAGTAACACATGGAAAATAATGGTCAAGATGATTCGTGGCAAAATCCATAAAGAAGCGTGGTAAGATGTAAAGACTTCGCTCATATCCGCTGCGCCGTGATTAGATACCCACAAGCCATGGGAAATACATAGTGGTGAGGGGTTAATAAAGAGGTCGCGACCAAGAGTACAGAACTATGGTTTTCTGTGGCAGAATGTGAAACGCAACCAGGGTGAAATTAAAATTGCGCTTTAATTCGTGATTGGACGAGACAATATACAGGAAATAGTGGGTAGATAGACATCAAAAAGGCCGCGACAGTCGCTAGGCAAA